TTCCCCCCACCAATCACAGTCCAATATACCTTTTCTTCTGCCTGTTGTTCTTGCTCCCCACCACCCATTGAGAGTTGACCCAAATCTGACCATATCCAGCAGGTTGACTTATCAGCACATTTTCTTCAAACTGAATGTGTTCCAGGACACCAGAAGGAGTTTTGTTCTCTAACAGGTTGTTTAAAAACATATGTCTCTACTTTCCACAGTGTCTTTGCAGAGAAAGTTCTTGCCTGTAAGCTTTCTCTATGTGGTTTCTTGGGTTGCAAAACAGCCCACACAGTTCCTCTGTAGCTCTCTAGGGGAAACCTCTTCCTTTCCATCACCCCAAAGGTTTCCCAAGAGTCCACTTTCTGTTCCTCTTAGGAAAACCCTGGGTTGCCTCCCATCCTCTGCTCTCCAGCCCAATGCTCCAAAACATTCCCCTCACCCTATGCACACTTGCCACTGTCCAGGAAAAAAACATCTCCTCATCTTTCTAGATGTCTCTGCCTGTGAAAGACATCAGTAGCCAGAGCACAGCAGACAGGCAGCCTGCCTTTTTCCCTGATCCCCAGCTACAACCTTTCCAAAGAACACAAGAGTGCCCAGGGAAATGGGAACAAACATACAAATATCTTACTCCTTCCACCACTTCTCCATCCACACACACACCCTCTTGCCCAGTCTGAGTGGTGCAGCTGGGCTCCTGGGACAACAGATCACTTCAGCTAGCTTTATTTCTAGACTCTCTCATATTCAAAGTGTGTTCACTCCCCAGTTTCTTACCCGTAACCAGGAGTCCTATCTTCTTGCACTTCTCCCAGCAGCACCCACATTTCCCAGACCTCTGCTTTGCCAAGCCATTTCTAACTGCCCAGCCTTGTCTGGGTCTCCCAGGGATGATCAGCACTTCTGGCCCGAGTCAAACTCCTTCATTTCTATTTTGGTCTTCCCCTTCAATCTCTCTTGTTAGGACACCTTGCACTTTATTTTTGTACTATCCTCTTCCCAACATCAGTCTGTATTTCTCACTGCGCAAGCCCTTATTCCTCCAATTACAGAATATTATTTCCTTCTTTTCTCTAGAGCCTCTGTGCCCTCATTAGCCTCTTCTGGTGGACCGCAGAACAACTACAAATCCTACATATATATTCCTGGCTGCTGGCTGTAAAGGAAAATTATGTCAATTAGTTCTAAGAGTAGGTGAGAATAATTTCATCTAGCTGTCTTGATCAAGAGTCTGGATAAAAAACTGGTATAATGTTTGCTCTGTATGTTCTGAAATAAGAGCAATTGTTTCCTCAGAGGAACCAGAACCACTAACCACATCCTTAAAACACTAACCAAATTCTTAAAAAATTATTTTACAGGTTGTGAATTGTTATGCATAGTAAAAAGTTGTGCCTTGCAGAATATGACAGGAGAAAGCTGGATATGTCAGATAAGGACACAGTTGAGAAGAGACAAAAAGAACCCTAATTGTTCCTGTGTCCGGATACGGTGATATCAGGACAACTTTATGCTTACAGAGCAGTTCAAACCTTTCCTATTGACCCCAGAAAATCTGGCTCTTGCCCATTGGAATCTGGCCTGAAGGCACTAGTTCATTTCACAAGTATCTATCTATTCTGTTTGTATTTATAGAACTTCCTTACATTTTGCTCCAAATTACTCTTCACTTCCTTTTTCGGTCCCCTGCTTTCAGAAACTTAAATGACAAAAGTAAAGACTTGCACATCAGAAACAATTTTTTAAATTCCTGTTTAGCCAGGGGACTGAAGCTAATATTTTCTTTTCTGTTTCAAGTTACTGGTACTGCTATTAGAAAATAATTTGTCTGTAAATTGGTATTCTTTTGGAAGGGGAGGATGTTCCTTCTTCTTTGTGCCTCTATCCACCATAGCTGTGTCAATGATCTTACAGGAAGTTACAATGGTGAATTCTTCCACAGCTTTTCCTTCCCTAAAGGCAGTTACTACCTCTTTGCAATAAACTCAAGTTGAGAATCAATTACTTTTTCACCCATGTTATAATTTAGGGAAATAATGAAAATAATGAGAAAAGGCAGGACATTCTCCCTAAAATGCCACCCTAATACAGAGAAAGCAAGAGCAAGCAGCTAAGAAAGTAGGTTTCCACATCTTGTCTATGTGAAGAGGCGTGTTAGAAATACTATTTTGTGGCATGTAAGACTAAATGCAGAGTCTATGCTGAAGCTGGACAAGTTTACAAATTGTGGTCCCACAAACTTTATTTTCAGCAGCTTAACCCTGAAGGTTCCTAGGCCTGGTAGAAAGCTTGATTTTGCCACTAAATTCTAGATATCCAAGCACCTTGATGAGCACCTGTTTCATACCTCCATACAAGTAGTATCTTTAAACTAGGGACTAGATCTTTCTTGTCTGATAAACATGCTTGGAGCTACCCTATTAGCTAGGATTTGGTATGAAATATAGTGGTAGCCACAGCTTTCCTTCAGAAAGTTGCAAGAGAGGAATTTGAAATCAAAAACCTGAGAGTAACCATAAAATTTGAGAAAAAAAATCCATCATACTAGGATGTACAAACTAAAGTTTCTTGTAAATTCCCTTTTCACTGATGGGTGGAAATACAGATCACAAACAGCATTTCTGAAAACTAGTTGTTGCATTTCTTTGATTTGGTTTTGGTTTTTTTAACAAGTTGCTATTACTAATAGAACAAAGCTATTATAGTAAATAGCAAATAAATATTCACACAGAACAGTCACTTCTTCAGTCACAGAGTTCACTCACACACAGTCGCTCACAGCTAACTGGTTGGAGCAATATTTGGAAACCAATCCCAGCTGTACATACACTCAGTTGCAGAGAGCCATACAGGCACTCCAGGGAATTCTCAAGAGATGTCTGGAAAGTTCCTCAGAGGGTCTTACTCTTCATTGCAAAACATCAGCCTCTGCTGTATTGGATGTGGTCCAAGTTACACAATCCTCTCCTGATGCTTGTGGGCACTAGTAGCCTTGTACAGTCCCAGCAAACTCTTGGTTCAGTTCTCACTGATGCAACAGGACTGCTGAAGCTTATCAGTCCTTGGAAACTTTCACAAACTAATTTCTCATTAGGCAATTTTCCTGTCTCTGTCCTATTGTTTTCTGGTAACCATTTCTCTATTCAAACCTATACATCCTGTAGATCCAATTCAGATAATTCAGACAGAAGGGTCCTTTATGGAAAATATTACAAGGGTGGATTAAATGTTTTTAATCTGCTCAGTGTTGTTAGGATCTCGCATCTATTGTTGCATTGTACTGTCAGCAGGACCTACATACCACAGCAAAGGGTCTAGAAGACAACAGTGATTAGAGATTTGGGACATAGCTAGTGGAATTAAAAGGGAAGAACCAAAGTTGCTGTCAGCAAATATTGAGAGGAGATGTGACAAGTGCTATCAGTATATAAGAATCTGTCTCAGAAACTACTAGAGCAGAACAGCACATAAGTAGTCTTAAATTACAGCACTTTCATTAGATATTTATTAGGGTACACTTTCAAATGTTAGGCATAAAGAAGCAATGAGTCACACAGTTTCACAAGTTGGTAAGGCCTGTTTAAGAACATGCTGGACTAGGAAAAGTAGATAGTCATTTGTGTATAAAAATTTCAGAATCCCATCTCTCCTTCCTGTTTTTACTGTCAAGATAAATTATTCTGTTTAAGAACACACACACACATTTACTAAGAATCAGCTTTTTAATTCCCATCTAGTGAACCAACATAGAATAAAAACTTATTTACAGGTATTTCATACAGATGCAAAATATTTTAACTTAAACACAATTAAAATCTTTCAAATGATTAGAATATCAAAAAGTATCAAATTAAATACGGACATTCCCTAGGCTAAGAGCTTTGAGTCATTTGGTTGTTTACATTTGGCATAAAATATACTGGGAAAGTAAAAAAAATCATTTATGTGAGCCTATTTTTAGGTTTACTGAAGCCAGAGAATATACCAGTAGACCAGTACGACATGCAATGCCATCAGCTCCATCATGATGGAAGTCAGGAATGATAATCAGAGATTTCAAACACACTTGGACAGGGAGAATTTGATTAGAATTAGAAAAGATTTTCTAATGGTAAATTTCATTAGGCTTTGAAAAAATGGCTTAAAATGTATGAAATCTTCACTGGTATTGGAGATACCAAGAATAAGTTTTATGTAATTTTTCAGGTGTGAAGTAAGTATAATTCCTCCTGCCTATTCCCACCCTTTCACAGAATCCTTTGATACCCTAATTTCACCATTTAAATGATAAAACACTACTATTCACAATACATTTCAACCTCTTATTATAGTTGATCTTTCAATGCATATGTTACAGAATTATAGCAGAAAAAATGCAATTTACACTTGCCTTTCTATCAGTCATATACAGAGGAGCAAATTATGTTAACTCAGATATTATGGACAACACAAAGGATTTCTGTGCTACCTCAGTAGCAGAAAGAAGATGCAAACCCACAGCACTGGAGCAGCTGCTTGGCTGAGCCAGGGAGCTGGTCCTGCCTCAAACAGGGACCTACACCAGGTGAGCCTGGAGATCCTGTCCAACCTGTGCAATTCTGCCAGTCTGCACAACAGATGGAGGAGGCAAACCATCAGGACACTTATGGATCTGGCTATAGTTTTCGGGGCATGCTAAGGAGCATATTCTCCCAACTGCCTGTCATGAGCATGATTCTTGTGCCTAAAGATGATGCTGGATCCACGCAGAGACTGGAGCTGCCTGAGTGTTCACTTACACAATGTAGCTCCAGGTATATGTGTAGGTTCATCCTCCAGGTACTACAGTTTGTGGGCAGATCTCTGGATCTGCCTTGCAAGGTTGCTTGTTCCTGCTAGTACAGAAAGCACGAAGCACCCTCTGCAAAATTAACTAGAAGTTCCATAGAAGAAAATTGCTTTGCCTTAAGAATTCTTGTACACCAGCTCTTTAACACTTTTCAAAATCAGACCCAAGATTACCCAGCCCATTAAATTGTTGCCTGCTCATTTTCTTCAATATTGGTCACAAGACAATTTGATTCATGAGTTCCAGGGTCACCACAGTATATGGCATTGTCAAAACTGGCTGTAATCATTTGTTGACCACGTCTTTTTTTATAAAAATAATACAATGTGAAGCCAATTCCAGCTAGCAGAAGGATGATCAGTATAAAAATGATCCCACCTAAACCATTTGCCGATGAAGCAGCAGCTTCATTTTTGGATGCTGTGAAAGACAAAACAGGAAAATTACTACAAATGCCCAGAGACTCCTATTGCCTACAATAAATATCTCCCTATATTAAACCAACTGAGTGGAAGTAAAAGTATTGAAAAGTAATAACAGTTCTAATTGATGCATGTTCCAGATGGACAGTGCGAAATTTGGCTTAATCTCTTCAATGTACCTTTTAACAGGAGCATTATATTTTACTACATATACCATTTGTAAAGAAAAAACAAAAAGTAAGACATCTGTTTTGAGAGAATAGGTTTCATTTTCAACAGATTTAAAATAAAATAATTTGTGACACTTAAACGGGTGTTTAAATGAAACTTTCCTGGAGGCAATTTTATTTGTAAGTAATAAATGCTTATAAAGTTATTTAAATTTATGCCTAATGGGTTTATAAGAAACTAACTTACCATTATTGACAGGTGAATCATGGGTTGGATCAACTTCTGGAACTTTAAAATGAAAAATGTATTTATTATACAGTTAGAAAACAACTGTATATACAGTTAGGAAACAACTGTTCAAAGATGAAATAAATACTGCATCGATAATTTTTTCTTTGCATTCCTATCAAATTTAAATAATCACAGAATCATAGAATGATTTAGGTTAGAAGGGACCTTAAAGATCATCTAATTCCAACCTCCTGCCATGAGCAGAGGTACATTCCACACAACCAGCTTGCTCAAAGCCCCATCCAGCTTGGCCTTGAACACCTTCAGGGATAAGGCATCCATAACTTAACTGGAAAACCTGTTGCAGTGCCTCACCACCCTCACAATAAAGAATTTCTTCCTAATATCCAATCTAAACCTACTCACTTTCAGTTTAAATCCATTGTCCTGTCACTACATATCCTTGGAAAAAGTCCCTCTTCAGCTCTCCTTTAGGTACTGGAAGGTGCTATACAGTCTCCTTGGAGCCTTCTCTTCTCCAGACTAAACAATCCCAACTCTACCAGCCTGTCCTTATAGGGAAAGTGTTCCAGGCCTCTGATCATCTTCACAGCCCTCCTCCAGACCCAGCTGAGTATGCCTTTGTTATGCTGAGGGCCCCAGAGCTGCACACAGTACATGGACAGGAAAAATATATTAAACATTTTCCCTGACAATTGAGACTGAATCCACCAAATATACTTGATAAGTACTTGTAAATAAAACCAACCCCAAACCTAACTGGTGCCTCACTATTCATTGTTCTGAACACTTTTTGATAGGGTAGGTGGTCTTCAAAGTTTTTACATTTCCACAGTGTTTAACACTTCATACTGAAGAACTCATTTTTTCACACTTGCAAAGGTGAAAAGCAGTCATACTTAACAGCACTTTAGCTGTGTTTTTAGGCAAATTCCTTTTCCTCCCTCCATTGCCTGGGGAGTATGACTCAATTGCTTGCAGGACTGACTGACTGACTGGACCCTGCTAAGTTCCCAGATGACTCCATTGCAGACCTGCAGAGGTCCACAAGCAGAAGACTCAATTGGTTCCACAGTGCATCAGTTTCATTTGTAGAGTGGATCTGTTTGCCAATGGCAAATGTGGCCCATTTCATATTGTCTCCTGGTTGATATGTGCAAACACAACTGACTCTGTGGGCATACTCATGCAGATTCATGCATGTGTGCAGATTTACATCCTTCACATTTTATGCAACACTGATGTGCAAGCAAGTGGGACTCACCCAGCCCCATAACACATTCAAATTTTCCATGCGTTGACATCCAAAAAAGCACAGGGCCACAAGTAACTGTAACAAATCAAATGCACCATGCTGTTTGGTTGTCTAGGCATTTCTCCCTATGTCAGCAGAGAAATGAATTGGGCTTCGCTACCCACCCTCACTCAATGCTTTTTGCTTGCTTGTTCAGCAGATTCCAGCACACTTCACCATGGTCATACTGTCCCTACCAGCAGGACCTACCTTCTCACTGCAGGAACTCAGTGACTTTGTACTGCTGCCCATCAGCTCAGCTATCAGGAGAGTGCCTGCTGTTCTGGTCAGCACTCACCAGTTTTATCATCTATTCATCATCTACTGCTCCTTGTACTCTAACCATAGTGGCTATGAATGTTATCCACACTCTCAACAGGTGCTATGTTCCTCTCTACCCCAGGGTACAACAAATGCCAAGAAATCAATGCTTTGAAACTGAGAGAAGGAAACAGTGGAGCAGGTCATTCTCCAAAATTATTTCTCACCATTCTTATCAGAAGTTACTCTTGACTTTGATTCAGATGTGTATGCATCAGCATCAATGCATAAAGTGGACACAGTGCAGAAGCAGTTTGGCTTGATGTATAGTAACCACTGCTTTTAAGATAACCCAGTGCACAGAAATTCAGAACTTACTTTTTGGGGTTTTGCAAATAAAATTCTGGTCAACAGAGCAGTAATAGGTCCTCCAGGTTCCGCTTGAGACATCCATGTCAACACAGCGTTCATTAAAACTTACTGTAGGCTCTCCTTTCTCCCAGTTGACATATTCCACCTCACTTCTGTCTATCCACATCCATTCTCCTAAAATGAAAAGCATTACATAGTGAGTGAATGAAGGGGGGAATAATTTCTAGTCTACTGAGCACAATTATATCAGATATGAAATCTTTCATTGGGTTAAATTGGAATCACAGAGGGCTTATTTCTCACTCTTTTATCAGCCAGAACTATTCAGGTAGGAATGTACCAAATGTAAATGCTCAGCAAGTTAACTCCATTAGCCTTCAGGGCCATGGCTGTCAGTGATTTAAGAAGACATGCCCAGGCTGCCCGAGGACCTTGAGCTGAAGTCCATGCCTAGGACTGTGCCTGGGAGCCTTAAGAAAAGCAGAGCACATGTGCAAACCAGTCTCAGCAATTCAAGCACGGAGAATGCTCAGGAGATTTTCTTTATGTATATCCAAACCAGTGAATAACTGCTTTATTAGAGCTGGATTAATCAATTATCTTTGCAGACTGAATCAACTCTAATAATGGCTCCCTGCTCATCTCTTGCTAACTGTCAAGCATTTCCCATCAAGTAGGAATTGCTGTCTTTGTTCCCTCAGGGTGTGCTTTCATGACAGCATATCCTGGTATAACTTGCAGCAGCCCCAATGCTGCCTCCTCTGTCCCCCATCTGCAGCTGCACTTCCCTCCTGCCTCTGCTTGCACAGCATGTAGCAGTGGATAAATGTCAAGTAATTTGAATTTTAAAAAAAGTGATAGGAAACATTTTAACCCACTCCTGCTAAGTCAGAACTCTTTACAGACTTAAATATACTCTTATTGCAACAAAGATACAGAAAGCATAGACCTCTAGGTGTTTTGTGTTTTAAGTATTTTAGCAAAAATGTTATGAAACCTTTATGAATTCGTTTTTGCCTGAATATTTGTTTAGTATTTAGTACATTGGTACTATTATTTAGTATGTTAGTGGTAGTTAGTATTCCCTCTGTTTATTTAGTATTTATTTTCATCTCAGTATACATCATGAAATAATTACCATCAATATTTTTGAACAGTCCTATCCAAAACTTTCTGAAGTCATTCGTAAGTGGAGACAAATAAAATAAGAGAAAGTTCATTTCAGCTGAATCTTCTATGGAAACCAGAGAAGCACCTAAAAATATTAATTAAATATTACATATCATTTCAGCAAGATTTTCCATAATAAATTTATTATCTCAGTAAACAATCATGACATGTTTCACGATCAGCATTTTCATATAGTAGAAATACCTCATAAGAAATTTAAATCAGGTGTAGCTTATAATTGATAAACACACACACCTGTATCATCATTTGGTTCTGGATTAAAAAGCCAAACACACAAACAATCTGTAAAATATCCTAATACAAAAGGGCACTTACCCATTTGAATACACACCATGGAAGCATCAGGCCAGCTTTCCTCAGAAGTGGTGTGAACATAGTAGCAATGACCACGGTAGGGAATCCAAGATCTACCACGCTTTGGCTCAGGACACTTCCCAGGAAGCTGTGGTGGTTCACTAGGGATTAAGTCTATTAAGAAGACACATAGGTTTCAGTGGAATCTTAAAAGACAAGGGAAATACATACTCCTGCACCACACATCAGCCCTACCAGTTTGGCAGTGATTCCAGGGAAAGGAGTAGCCCATAGACTTAACTAAAGATAAAAGACTGAACTGAACATGGCAAACTAGCAATAAACTACACCAGTTGGAGCTAGTTCTCCAATCTGCTCAAGAAGGTTTACACCAGTCTAACTGCAGTTGTCTTCAGCAAGGCAATTTTTATTTAAAACTTGTGAAACAGATTGAGGAATGAGTCAGTATGCATAAAGGATCTCAAAACACCAGCACAAGTCAGTGGCTTGTGTCTAGACAATTCGTAGAAAGGTCTGTCTGTACCTATCCTTTTACATCATGCATCCTAAACAATATGAAAGCAGAAATTATACCCTAATACATCACCTGATTAAAGCCAAGGCAGAGTTGAAATTAATATAAAATTTGCTGTGAAGTATGGTGCAGGGATCATAAATTTCATATATAATTTAAAATGTGTTTGAAAATTTTATGCAGTATTTGAGTGATAAAGAAGAAATATTTGAAAGATAAAGAAACAAATATGAATTAATTGATTTGGCTGCTACACTGCCAGAAGTTTCTTAACTCACAATATTTCAAAAAATACTTTAAAATGTAACAGTGTATCACTAATATTTTATTTATAGTTAGGTAAAGTCAAACAATTCTGCAGTTCTTGACAAACAAGGGTGTAGAAAAAGAACTATAGCATGTGGCATGAAATATTGCAGTGGTCTTTATGATGTGCATGCGTTGACCAGCCTGTGAAATGAAGGAAATCACTCAAGACAGACTGGATCTGAGAGTTCTTCTCTAACAAAAGTAATACTTTATCACACAGCATACACTACAACAATCTTTGCATATATGCTAAATTCAAATAAAGCCATTAATTTAAATTTCAGCCTCCCAAATCACATTTCTTCTATTCAGGACTTACCATTGGATTGTTTACAGAGAGAGAAAAATGTCTCATTGCAAGATGCTGTCCTCCAAAAACCATCCAAATCTAAATAGACACAGGCTTTGTTCTTATTTGGTTCTCCGCTGGCCCAGTTATGATATCTGCTCCTCCTTTTATCTGACCATATGTATTGGCCACCACTCTAAAAGAAAATTACAATAAAGATTAGATTGTGTTCAAGAATTAGATTGGAAGAACATTAACATTGCTTTTGAATGCATGTAAAAAAATAGGAATGATCAGAATCATGGTCTCTTGCACAAAATTAATTCATCCTCTGTCATGAAAATGCAGCAATCTGATTCAAACTTCCACTTTCCACAGCAGTTAGGGAAAACTGTGCTATTCAATTCACACCATCTGTCTCATGCAGTAAATGGGCAAAGGGCTTTATGAGGACAAATGTGAATACACAGCTGGTCAGTTTGGGTCACCTGTCCCAGCTGTATCTCCTCCCAACCCCCCATGCACCCTCAACTTCCTGGCCAGTGTGGCACTACAGAAAACAGCAAAGGCCTTGGCTCTGTGTGAGCTCTGCTCAGCAATAACAAAACTATCTCTGCATTATCAACCCTGTGTTCAGTACAAATCCAAAATATAGCCCCATACTAGCCACTGTGAAGAAAGTTAACTCCACTTCAGCCCAAACCAGCACAACAAATGAGTCCACATATACACACAGATCAAATAGGGATTGAACAGAAACTATTGTCAGCATTCCTCTGCTATGTACACACTATTTACTTAACATACTCTATTCTAACACACCCTATGTATTTAGAAAGCAAATAGAAAAATTGGAACTTTAAATGAAGAGAGGAAAACTGATGAGGCTTTCCATGGGGTAGGCACCACACACCCCTACCACCCATAGTAACAGGCCTTGTGGTATGTTTCTGGGTCTTGCAAGGACCAGCTACTAGAGACAAGGTAAGCGTGTATTTATTTCAACACTATTTGCAGAGGATGACTGACATTAATCACATCCATTGCTTCTGTTACCCCAGCCTGCACAGCCTAGCCACCTTTTGTGTTCTTTGGAGGCAGGCTCACATCACGTACTTAATGCCATTTCCTTTCCCATCTCCTTTCCTTTGAAACCCTTGGCCATGTTTCATTCCAGATTCCTATCTAATCCCGGTTTCCCAGCGACTGCTTTCATTGAGGTGCAGTTCTGGTTCCTCTCACATTAGCACCTGTGCCCTCTCTTAGTCCTGTGTCCCACCAACCTCTTACTGTACCTCTCTTCTTGATTTCTCCACAACTTCAGTTCCACTAATATCCAGCTACGTCATCTTTATCCTTGCTCTTTTTTACATGCCTCTGTTAGCTGCTTTCCATTTCAGACCTTTCCATTCTTAGCTGACTGAGTTGTTGGCAGCTTTACCCAAAGCACTGGCTTTGGCTCCAAAATGCAGCCTAAGATGTCCCCATTGCCAGAGCCATACTCCCACCTGCTGTTTCCCCTGCTGCCCAGCACAAGCTCTTGTACTGCTCTGTTGTGGGTTGTAACAAACACTTAAAATAAACTCAAAAAGAAAGAACTCTTTTAAACACATTTTTTTTCTGTGGTGTGCTGCACAATGTGCCTTCAGAAATGGCAATACTCACCAGCTCAGCATGTGGTAGACTGTGAAATAGAAAGTGGGAACTTCATAGCCACTTTTACCACTGAAGCCACTGTCTGCTGCAGCTACATCCTTGGTGGCCTTTGAAGTGTGGGCTGTGGCAGTTTTTGATTACACTGTGAGCAAACATCTAAATATCTAAATCCCCTGAAGTGGAGGGAAGTCAGGAACCTCCACAAGGTTTTGATACCCACCACACATTTGTGGAACTGATGGGTAGCTCATCAAAAGTAGTGGTACGACTGTCACAAACATTTGGTGAACTCACCATGTTGCTGTTAAGGCCAATCCACACAGGCCCCCCATGCTTTATTATTTGTAACAACACGTAAGATTCAACATAGGGATCCAAGATACTGGCGAGATCTGCAGACTGGTCCCTGCAGTTCTTCTCTGCTTCTTCCCAGCTCATTTTGTAGTTGATGACTGCATAACGGTCATTACCATAAGAATGAAAGCCAAACATTGGAACTGTGGGTTGGGAATTTTGCAGTTTGGGGTCTGTAACAAGCAAACAAAAAACCAAAAACCATCAACACCAACAAAACCCCTACAAACAAACAAACCCCAGACAAACAAAATTGAAAGGAAAGTCAAACTATATTGACTCAGACATATAAAATTGAGAGAAGAGCTATTGGAGTACTCAAGTAATTAAAAGAGATTGCAATAGCAAATTAAGATATATCCAAACTATCACTGCAGTGATGAAAGCCACATTTTCATGTACTGTGAAAAAATTTTCTGATACTTGTCAGAATGACCTTTTAGCATAAATATCCATATCATCTCCAGGAACATGCCTTGTAAGTACCAGGCCTACCCAAAGCATATTGTACTGATGTAGGACATTAAAGGGAAGAATTCCTTCCATAATATATTAGTATTTGTTGTAATTTGGGCTGGGAACAGAGCATGATAAGCACACCATGAGCAAGCACAGGGTTATAACTACTGTTGCTGAAATTGCCTAAGAAAGAATGTAAAGGAAATCAAGCAGGGCAGTTTTACAAAAAGAAGTTACATTGCTTTTAAGTATGACAGTAGAATTCCAGTTTGGAATTTACCAATATAAAGACAAAGCACTCACACCTGATTGACAGAAAAAGTAAAATACATGATTTCACTGGTCTAGTACTTAAAATAGGAAAGGTTAAGAGACTTTTGTCCAAAAAATAAAATGTGCAATCATTTTGTTAAAATGGTCCATAGTGCATGTGGTACTGCCATTAATTTTAGTTATACTAGGGTGAAGTTGCAGGTAAGTCACTTTTAACACCAGTTTGAAATAACCAAAATAAACCAGCTGTACTAGAAAGTGGTGAAAGAAAACTCACCAGAATTTTTCTGGCATATGTAACTTTTGCTTGTTTTGCATTCTTCATCTTTCCATTTCCCTGCCTGTTCAATAGGATTCTTCACCATAAAGAAACAATCATTCTACAAGATAAACGAGATTGACAAGAAAAAGTTGTGGATGGATGGGAAATGTTCCTACTCCGCCTGGATACACAGATTCATCTATCACATGCAGGCACATACAGATGAATAATATGAAGGTAATATACATATGAACTCATACGAGCAATGGTCAGACACAGTAATATGACAATAAGCAATTGCAGCTCAGCCCTAGGAAAGTTTGCACTTGGATGATGGAGGGAGGAAAAAGTGTCTGGGACTATCTGCACGTACATAATATTTGTACATGGCCGTGTACCTGTGTGCTTGGTGCAGGTAGATATGTGTATGCTAAGTCTGGCCTACGGGTTTGTTGCTGTTTTCCTAGAGAATATGGGGAATCTCTCCTCAGCACTGACGCTTGCCTGGAGAGCTGAATTCCTTCTCCTGCCCTAGTTCAGCACTAGGATCGAAAGTGGTCACCACAGTGCAGTAATGTAGACACAGTTTATCAGAAATAACATTTTATGGGGAACACCTTCCAAACCCTTTCCACTGCACTTTGGGCCCTTTACCTTCCCCCTTTTCCTCCCACAGCATGAGAAGCTGCTGCTTAGCTTTCTGCAGCAGGAGGCAGCAGCTGTCCCCACTTCACATCAGTATAACCTCATGCTACCCTCAAATCCCCTCAGAGCACTAGCCCAGGGCTAGTCTGCAAGTTAAGAAGTTTTATGCAGAGGGATTTCTGCAGGGGAATGATAACAGCCTTCTGCAGAAAGCGTGTGTGTGTGTGAGGTGGGGAAGTTCTGGAGATCCCAAAACCCAGCTCTAGCCTCATGGCGAGGCTGGACTTCAGATCTTTCTTCTGTTTTAGCTGAACATGAAGAAATTGTGATACAAAGAAAGAGAGAAACTTGGTAAAGCTAGCACAGGGTACAGAAATAATACTATTGGACAATATTGTACATTAGCCATTTTACGATTACTGAATAACATGCAGTTTTGTCTTACAATTTAACACAAAAAAGTATGACCATGCCAAAAGTTTCAAAGCATATAGAAAGGATCTTTCAGAAGGAGGAATAGAGGAAGATAAAAATTAGAAAGGAAGACCCAGTCTCCTCTTGAGGATTTCATTCAATGCATTTCTCTTAACAAGCTCAGTGTCAATAAATGTCAATACATGCAGTTATCTGAGTATTTTCATCAAATCTAAATAACATTCACTGTGTCCCGGAATTATATAGTTAATTCTGTGGTATAACTGAATCTCCCAATGAGTCGTGGTAAAGTGAGGGAAATTGCTCACTCCTCTGAGTTTTGCCTAATGCTTCCAAACTTCTGGACTCCTACAGAACCATGACAAAACACAAAATGGAGAAAATGTGTGTACATAGATCTCCCACATAGTCACTCTGCTTTTAAAAAGCAACAAGATTACTGAAAGTCCTCATAAAGGAAAGAAAATATGATTGTAGCCACATACATTTTATTCATCTACCAAAGTTATAATGCTTAAATGATAAACCAAAACTGACATTTACCATACTATAATAAGTTCGGGAACCTTTTGCCCAGTTTGTATAGTCTACTGGGCTTCCATCTGTCCATAAGTATGTGTGCTCCTGATTTATGTCATTCATTCCAATCCAAGCATCTGTTGCAGCATTTTTCAAGAGGGACATGAGAAAAGCTGAAGGAAAAAAATGAAAAATAACCTAAGAAAGGAAACTGAATGTACCCTTCCTCAACACTGCAGTCTCTTTGAGTTTTGGCTTTCTCTTTCTAATAAAGTGGAAATCTCAAGACAAAAATAAAATGAATAGATGTTCATAGATGCTTAACATCAGTCATCCAAAGTTAAAATCAAAAAAAAAAATTTACATACTCCAACATAAGCCAATTTTTAATAAAATGAGAATATATGTGTATGCTCTTCCATGTTCATCATCTGAGGAAGCATGGAAAATGCTTTAATACATTAATTAACATGAGTATGCTAAATCATGGCACATGCAAAAATGTGTTTTTAGACTGTGCACTCCTTTTTCCTCTTTGGTAACTGCTTTGTTAACCCAACTTAATAACTTCCTTTCTGAACAGGCATAACACAAATAAAACTACTTAATAACCAATTATGTATAAACTGGAATCTCAGCTTTGTGGAATGTCAAATGCTGTTTCCATTAGCTTAGACTGACTTCCCACTGAAATAATTTCCTTTCTGTGCTACAGATAAAAGTATAAAGCACTAGCGCTGATGGAGTGAGGTAGGACACGGTCCATGTGCAGCCCTCGTGATCTAAGGCAGCACATCTTCCAGGCAAATATGAGGCCTCCTAAAAGACCTGTATCATGCTGAGCAGCAAGACAAGGAGAGCAAGAGGAACAGGGAGAAGCTGGGACTCCAGCACTGGAGCCTTCTGCTGCCTGAGGATGTGTCCTCCACTGACACCTACAGCATTTGGCTCAGCAGCTAGCTGGACAGTGATTTGGGTTTGGGTATTCCTCCCTTTGCGTGCTATTTTTACATAGATTCATAGCATGACCTGGATTGGAAGGGATATCAAAGATCATCTAGTTCCTTAAAAAAAAAATTTAGACATGTTATTGTATGACAAGTCCTTAATACAAAATTTTAGTATTTGAACAGTGTAAAGAAATTCCTTTGTGCATCCTATATTAACCCCAAAGCTATGATTCTAAAGGTTAACCAGGACACTAAACCCTATGCAAGCATTTTTCCAAAGGTGCAATTTCTCATTCAGCATAACTTTATATTAATATGGAATAAATAATAGCATATATTGCAGAAGCTATGACATCTGTTTTAATCTTTTAATCAGGAATTACGTGGTGTCTCATCCAGTATCAAAATATTGGTACTTTATACCTTGCACTTCCTTTTTTGATATAGTAGCCAGGTTTCCTCCCAAATCAATGCAATTGTTCCGTGCACCATGCCATGACAATGTATCATTTTCATCAAGGCCAAATACTTTGAAACACTGAAAAAGAAAAACATGCCAAATCTGTAACTGGTCGGTGTTTTAATTTCAGGTGAAAGCATCTTTGTAAAAAACAAGGTAAGCTGGATATTTTAAGCAAAAAGGGCGATTAGCTGATTTAACAGTATTTTCTTGCCTGCCTTTAGGTTTTAATGCCTGTACTAGAAAAGTACTATAAAGCCCAATATCTTAGCATACACGTAGAAGAAGGAATATGTCAGTCTACTGATCTCAGCATAAATTGCAATACAACTTCTGAGCACAATTCTGAGGTGTGACTTTGTGAGAGAAATGCTGAAGAAGACCTCGGAAAACAAATAAGAATAAGATTTGTTAGAGAAGCAGAATGTCTCAGCTTCTGTTGCCCTGTTTGTCAAACAAGGTTTTCTTCTCACAGAATAATCACAGAAAGACAATGGTTCTGACATTATATAGTAAACTATAAATTTACGATTTCTTGCAATATGATCTATGAGATTTGACTAAGATGTCATCAGACAGCTTTGTCAGTCAAGCAACCTAAATGTGCTAAGCATGTAAGTGAAAAGTTAAGCAGACAATTTAGGGAAAAGTTGAGCAAAACCAGAGGTGGTCCCATGACTGTCAGAAGCAGTATATAAACACCAGGGGAGTAGTCAAGGGAGGAGCCTTTGGAAGCTCCTCTTCCAGGAGGTGAGGGAGAGAGGCATTTTAACTTGAGAGAGCACCATGTAATGCAACACACTGAATTTGTGGCTCAACCACCCTTGGCAACACAAAACACTAGAAAAATACAAGGTGATGTTTTCTTCTTGTATGTCTCATGACTTCCCTCATAACTGCTGTGATCCCAACACAGGCTATAATTTCTGTTTCAGGATTTGTAAGGTCGTTAAATACATACGAAGAAAGCATACTTTGTGATAACTGAAAACCCCGGTATAACTGCTAAATTGATTCAAAGATGTTTTTTTCTATTCCACTCTTTTTAAAATAGAGTATACTGGCATTTCATACTGCACCTTGTTATCAAAGAGAAGCCAATCTTCCTGACACCCACCCTTTGGTGGTGGTGAAGTGGGAGCAACTGTTGTACGAACAGTGTTGTTAAGCCTTTCACAGATGAATAACTCGACGCTGCCACAGTTGAGGTCATTCCATGTACCTGAAAGCAAGGTTTAAATAAAAACAACTAAATTTAACTGAGACTGAGATAAAAGCTTTCCTAGAGAAAGTCTATCGTATGAAGCAGAACTGATTACAGTATTTGTATTCCTATCCCCCAGAAATAACATACCTGTTTCTTAGAAATATTCAGGTTTCCAGCAAAATTTAGAATATGAGTAATTTGTCTGAGAACAGAAATATTTCAATATTGCAAAATCATAGCATTGCCAAAGGAGAGTTTTAGCTCAGATTAATTCTTGGTTCTTAATTCTCTCTAGAATCTGTAAGGTCTCTAGAATCACTCTGTCTATATAAGGCACTCCTTGTTACTTTACTAACCAAGCTTCTCACAGTCTTATCGTTTTCTGGGTATCTCTTCTCCCTATTGGAGCACGATCTAAGAATATAAAATTAACATCATCATCATCATCCCCACTTTACAGATCAGGAATGAAAAAGAAAATGGCATATATTTCATTAGTTGCAGATAGTTACAAGATAATGATCTACAGCAGAGTTATTCACACCTTATGTTTAATGGAGATATTGCCATTATAACTCAGAGAAGTTAAGGACATAATTCATCTTATCTTAAACAACAGCTTCAAAACAAGACAAAATATTGACCCTCCAAAAGTGTTCACTTCCTTCCATTGATATCTAACAGAGCCTAGGAAGACCTCAGCTATAGATTTTGAGACTAGAAATGTTTAAAAGTAGAGGAGATTAAGTGCTGCAAAAGGACGAAGTGCTTGGCTAGTGTAGGCACACATAGTTCCAGTGCTCTGTATTAAAGGATATTTGCTTTTATTGTAATTTAATCAGTATATAGCATTGTTTAGTAATAATCAAAGCTATGCCAAACCCCTCAGTTTTGAAGAGCTACACAAATGATAACAGTGTTGATGCCCTTGGGAGGTAGGCATAAAATAGACAGAGCTTAGAGGAAAACCAGTACTGATTCTATCTGCAAATGGCATGATGCTTACCTGATTTGTTCACTTTGAAAATTTTTGACAAAGCTAGGAATCAAATCGCTGATATAACTCAATGTGTTAGCTACATAGAGTTCAATTTTTCAAAAGTGTATCAAGAAGAGAATACAATTTATTTTCATATGCTTTTTGAACTCTTTATGAAACATCAGCCTGCTCAGTATTATAACTTACCCAGCCTTGCCCATGCAGCCCTCCCAGTCCTACACCACCCCATGCAGATGGAATGTTGTTACTGCACCCACCTGTTTGGGTATACATAACCACACAGTTTTCATCATTATTTGCAAAATTTGGTTCGTTTGGAGCCCAGGCAACATAGCTCACTGGAGTTCCATCCATCCACCTGAAAAAAGTAATTTGAGGGAATAATAATTCTTAGTTGATGTAGTTAATATTTCTTTCAAAAATATGTGTTCAGGCTTTGTATTTTAGGTTTCCTATATCCTAGCTTACAAATCTATGTTGTTCTCTGCTAAAAGAAAACCAAGGCCTTCCACTTGGAATTAGTAAAAAATACCTTTATATCAACTGCCTGCTCTGTTGACCTTGGCCAGGTCTGAACTAGTGACCTTAACTGGTTATCCTAGCCTTTCTTGATCTCTGAGCACTGATAGCATCCAGGAAAGACACCAATCTAGCACCGGATCTGGCTTTCTCTGGAGCACAGAAACAGAAATCTGAGCCTATTTGATTAATTTTCTGGGTCCAAAAGCAATAATATAAGATCTTGTGGAGTAAGAAAGAGTCTTGAACCACATACTGGGAACCACTTGGAAACATTTTGTTAAGCAAAGGAAATCTTTAATACTATACAGTTATTAGCTGGGGTTTTTTTAGTTTAGTTTAGTGCCATATCCAATCTTTCCTTAAACACCTCAAGGAACAGTAAATTTACCACCTCTGTAGACAGACTGTGGCAATGTTTAATCATCCTTTCTGTAAAAAAATTATTCATATGGGAGAAGTGCTTCCCTGAGGAGCAGAATACTGGTTTGAAAATTTATGTCAAGAAATGACTGTAGACAGGTTGTGTCAGTCACTGAATTTCAACAGTCTCCTACAGCCAAACATGGCAAATATTTATATTATGAGTCCGACAAAATTGATTTTTTTACTTACTGGAATGTTTTGTCAAGGCTCACGCTTAAGCCAATATAGAATTTATGTCCCCACTCCTTATAAAAAACCTAAAACAAACAAACAAATGAAACTAAACAACAACAAGCAAACAAACAGAATTAATGAGCTGTAAGAAAACAGATTTCAAATCAAATAAGCAAACTTTTAAAAAACACTTTAGTTTCAGTTGTACATCTACATAGTATACAATGTGCAGAGAGTTGCTGGAATTACATGTCTGAACTGCAAATTGCAAAATTTTCCTCCAGTTTCCAGTATATAATTTTTAAAAAAAAAGCTGAATGAGCTGAAAAAGAAATAGAGAAAAAAGCTTTGTTAAGAAGGTAAGAAGGGCCTTTTAAGCAGGTGATGAAATAAAGCAAGATTTTTAAGAGTTTCAGGAAAGCATAGTGAGAATTTGCTGAAAGGATACAAGTTAATGGTGAGTTTTAATACTTAAGAAAAGGATAGGATGATATTTGGGTTTACTAGTATGAAACTATTTCCAGAACAGTATATCATCAGCATGTTATTCTCTTCCTATTAGAAAAATTTCTGTCTTAAACCTTTCACTGACTGTATGAGAACTGTTTTGACAAAGAGCTTTTATTGAATTCTGTGAAAAGCAAAACTTAGAAAACAAAACATAATCAGTAATTGCAGCTTTTGCCTAAATAAAGCAAGTCTTTGAAAGTTGAACCCGGAGAATGTTCATGAAAGGAAGTGGAGAATTTTTCAGTGTTTAGCAATTTATCAAAATAATGATCATGATAAAGCTTCTAAGTAGATGAGCCCATGAAAAGATGAAAGGTGGCACTGATTTTTTGGTTTTTTATGAGGGGGCCCACACAGCCCAGCTGAAAAAGGTGCCTCAGAGCAAGACAGAACAGTGCATTTTTTAAAGCAAAACATGTTTCTTACATATTTCCAAAGAAAGTTTTTTTCACTTTCACTCTCAATGACAGCAAGGTCGCTACCATTCTTCTTGCAAAAGTCTCTGGCTTTTTCCATAGGCATTGCTTCGCTGCTGAAGTAGTATTCCTTGTGATTATATATTATCCAGTCCTCTTCACCAGCAACACGTTCATAAGCTGCAAAGTAAAACATTTAGCAGTCTGTAATAGAAATTAACATCATTATAGGTAATTTATTTTTGTTATTGGAAGTACAAGACTTACTGAATGTGGAATTAGGCTCTGGTTTCAGTGATGCTCCTGCAAAATAAAACAATATCTGAGTATATTGTTTCTCAGACATCTCTGAATTAAATATATTTATATGGTAGTTAGTATTTTAACAGCAAGAATAATCTTAAGGAGTACTCAGCATGCTTGTCACAGAATTTCTCAGCATATCTGAAAAAAAAAGATGCTACACACAGCAATATAACATGTTAGAGCTGACCACAAGTTAAGCTTACAGAAACTAGGCCCAATTTTAGCTTATTAAATTTCACTTTCCCAACATGCTGCATATGCGTTCCAAAATTACCCGTGTGTCTCATAGATTAATTCATAGTTTTCAACTGCTTTTGCTAAAGTTAAATGTATAAAATATTTTGTTATTATTGGTGGCACAGCTGGCTCTAATATGTGCAGATAGTGTGATCTGACCTGGAAAGGATGTTCTTCTCTACCTCTACAAATTGCTAAAGGAATAAAGTTATCTTACCTTTTTTAATTTGGCAAACATAGTCCAGCATGTGTTCACAAAATAAATCATTCCAGCGCATATTGTAGAAGGCGTTAAACACACCGCATTTTTCATTTCCATGATAATTGTTTGGCTCTCCATGTGACCATTTTTCAAAATTTACCTATAGTGGGAACACAACTTTGTGACTGTTCTCCTTTTAAAATGAAACAATTGTCTCGTATCATCCTATTAAAGCAGAATGTTATTAAGCCAAGAAATTCTTGCCCTGGTTGTTATCAGAAGAGATGATGTTCTCCTGTCAAACTTGAGAAAGAAGTATGTTCCCTGACCCCTGACTGGTTATCCTGCTCTGATGTTTCAACCTAAGACAATCCATCAGTGCTGCCATATGGACTTAGACCTCGTAGATCTTGATCTACTTAAGACAATAAGGTCAGCAAAGCCTAGTTTGTGTTAGACATACAAAATTATTTCTTTAGAGATTACCACAATAAGATTTGCTTAGAACAAGAATCATATACCATCACCTTTGATGTTATTTCATTGCTCTAAATGTCATATAATTTTCTGTATCTATGAACTATCAAAAGGATAAAACTACTTCCTAGAGAGAAATCAGGTAGTAAAGACTTAACATCACTTTCAGCTTGTATAGGAGGAGTTTTGAGAGCTGTCTGCCAAGGTAAACAGGAAAAATTAGTCAAAAAGCTGGAATAATAAATTTACTCACTGGTGAGCCATCACTCCATGTAAATCCACTGTCGGCATCCAAGGCACTTAAACCCATCCAGTAGGACAAGTGAATATAATATTTATCTCTGAATGAATAGAAATAGAGACAGACACACTGTGAAACAGGAGAATGTATAGCATTACATTATTCTCAGTGTTTTGATACTTTTAAGTATCATTTGAAGCAGTCATATATGGTACTCATCCAATTGTCATGTTGGGGAAAGCACCCTGACACTGCACATGGCAGGAAGTAGTGAAACACAGAGCTTCATGGGAAAGATCACAGATATCATGAGTCCACAATTACCAACTTAAATGAAAATATATTTGAATGTCTTCCACCAAGTAGCTTAGGCATTCAAATTCAGACCTGTCTGCACTCATTGGCATGATTTAAACATTTATATAAGCACATCAATAGGTCAGGCTTTCCTTAGTCTCCCAATTTTTGTCCTTAACTAAGGAAGGAAACTAGTGCAAAATATTCCTTTAATCAAGAGTATTTTATCTACTGATCAACTACAAATGAGCTACAAAGATCAGTTTTATCTCTTTGAACTAAGCTCAGTTGAAACCAATTTTCATGGAATGATAGAATCATCAAGGTTGGAGAAGACCTCTAAGATTATCAAGCCCAACAATTAGCTGCCACTCTACTCTAACCCCTAAACCATATCCTCCAGCCTCAGATCCAGACTGATACAGGCCAACATGCCATTGGCCTTCTTGGCCACCGGAGCACACTGTTGTCTCATATTGAGCTGACTGTTCACCAGCACTCCCAAGGTCCTTTCTAATGAACAACATTTGAGCCACTGTTCCTACAGCCTGTAGCTCTGCATGGGGGTTGTTTTGTCCCAAGTGCAGGACCAGCACTTTCCCTTATTGAACCTCGTGCAGTTGTCCTCAGCCCATTGACCAAGTTGGTCCATGTCTCTCTGTAGAGCTTTTCTACCCTTGAGCAGATTGACACTCCCACCCAGCTCAGTGTCACCTGCAAATTTACTGAGGGTGCATTCAATCCTCACATTCAGATCATCAATAAAGATGTTAAATAGGATCAGCCCCCAAGACTGAGCCCTAGGAAACACCACTAGTGACCAGCCACCAATTGGATTTAGCCCTATTAACCACAATTCTTTGGGCCGGACCATCCATCCAGTTTTTTACCCATCTAAGAGTCTACCCATCCAAGCCACGAACAGCCAGTTTATCTAGAAGTATGCTGTGGGAGACAGTGTGAAATGTCTTATGGAAATCCAAATACACCATGTCCATAGCCTTTTTGATAATTCTTCTCTCATTTTTGTGTGTGTTCAGACTACATCACTGCACAGCACCACAGTCTCAGAGGCTTGCCAAGAAAACCTTTTGCTCACCTCTTTTCACCCTCATTTCCCTCTGCCACTGTGAAAGGATACACCACCCTTGCAAAGTAGAAATTGATCGCCAGAAATTCTTTGTCTTTCAGAAAGGCAATTTTAAAAAATTTTTTTCTTATATTTAAATGATGTACTGTGCAGATACTTACAATGTTTTTATCAGCTCTTGTTCTTCTTCATTGTGGATACATGCCAGATCTCCTCCAATGGTTCTGCAAAAATCTCTTGCACCAAACCATGTTTGCATTTTCTCTCTTCCTCCTTGAAAAATCTATAAATAGTGAGCAACTAAATACTGTGCTGGGTATGACAGAAATTTAGAAACAGAGTTCTTTCTTCTGTTCTTCTGGTCTCATTTTATTGCTTATTATTTAATTGTGCAACCATAAGCCTGCGGTCGTCTATCAGATTTGAATGTCGCAACTTTGCTTTTCCTATCATCTTGGAGTCCCTGTGGCTCCAAACCTCTCTTCAACACACATACAGCTTTTTCCACCACTGCCCAGCCACATCACCTGGGCATGGCTGGAGACATTTTACCACAAACTGCCTATCAGGTGGCAGGGTAAAATCCCCCTTCCATGTATACACAAAACATATTCTTATTTGAAATGACAAGCATTTACATGCAGAAATTAAATACCTACTTTGAAGCAGAAGCTGCTCTGAGGAACTGACTGCCATCCATCTGGGCAGAACAGGAGAGGGGGAGTTGTTGGAGGTAGCGGAGGGGGTGTCACTCCCTCCACCAGCTGCTTACAGAGAAACATGTTTGTTTCTTCACAGTTCAAAATATCCCATAATCCAGCTGAAGTTCCTGTTGCCATGGCCACGCAGCCTGACTGTTCTCCTTCATGAAACATAAAATTGTTAGATCTGATCTTCTCAAAGCATGTGCTGCTTAAAGAGTAACCTGTTTGCACTGTGTTTGAATACCAATAGCTCACAGTAGCTCATGTGCATTTCTATTAAATCATAGAAAGAAACGATAGCAAATTCCTTTTACATTACACTGGGAATCATTTAAAAAGCCTCATCAAACAATGATGAGTGAATTATACCAACAGACATGTGTGGTCCCAGATGATCTTCTCGAAGGAGTTACCATGATCTCTGATTTTATCCCTTTAAAAGGGATTACTTTACAGCACAAATGGAAAGTTGTGCTGCTATTTCTGCTGCTTTATGCCGGAAGAGTTTCTAACCTATGTTTTAGTTTTTAAACCCACACATTTTGCTTTCCCAGAGCAGAAATTCAGTGGATGCTGTGGCACCTACCGGGCATTCCCACATTCCAGTGAGTGAAGGTGACTGGATCCCCATTTGCCCACCTGAAAGTCCCCTGGTCCTCTGTGTCTGAGAGACCAATCCAGAAATATTTTGCTGGATTGAATCCAATTACGGAGGTCAAAAAAGCTTGTTCGTATCTGTGAAGAATAAGAACCAAACTGCTGTATCATAATCATAATCATAATTTGTTCATTTCTTCAAATAGTTCATTGTAGCAAATCTGGCAAACTTAAGGTGATCTGTCAATATGTGGGAAGTTATAAGGATGAAATGAAGCAAGGGTAATTATCTTACTTTTATAGTTCTAATTGTCATTGAAATAATTTTTATTTTATATTTTGTTAATGTAAATGATGCCTAGAATTTCGAGTGATTCTATTTGCCTTTCATACTGCACCATGAACAACACAATCCAAACAATACTTCTGTTAGCACATATATGTTATTCATTCTGTATGAATATGAGCTGCAGTGTTTTACCGAGCTTTATGATAAGGTCTAGATCTTTAAATCTTGTTACTATGGGGGAAAAAATCTACATTTATTCTAAAAAGAGAAGGCTTCCAGATCTTCCTGTTGAAAAAAACCAACAAAACAAAGCAAAATGAACAAACAAAAAAAAATAGTTCCATGTTTATCTGTTTATTTTTAGTTCAAAAAGTTTTTAAGCTATCTGTCAATCTGCAGTTGTTGCGAAGGATGACCCAGTTTTTTAATTCCTGGAGTCAACAACAGGGTAATTTTATGTTGCAACAGTTTGAATGTTTGTATTGATGACCTACAAGCCCCTGATATATGGTGTAAATACTTCAGTTCTGCTATAGATTTTCCTTCAAAAGAGTGATGTCACACTAGACAGACACTAACTGCTAAGTAAGAAGAAATTTCTGTTTGGCTCTTCCATCCTGGTTACACACATGAAAGGACAAGAATTATGTTTCCATACCTGTCTCTCACAGTAAGCAGGTAACCTTTGTTTTCTTCACAGATTTTTTTTGCAGTTGAAAATGTTGTTGGTAACTGCCCCACGGAGTAGCAATAAAAGCCGTGCTTCATCCATCCCTGTCAGTGTCAACCGCAGAGAGACAGAGGGGCTGTCAGACTGCACAGCTCTGTGCACTTCCAAAAGCCACATTAATACCATAGCCCAAGTCAAAACTGATCTCAGAAGCCATGAGAAAAAAACCAAGAGGATAATCATACAACTTTTTTAACCATTACTCCATGTCTTGCCCCTTGATAAAGAACACACAAGTGGTCTTTGCAAACAGCAAGCTGCAGTTATGCCTTGGAACTGGTAACTACTGTCTGCCACTTTGCTGCTCCCTGTGTAAAGCTTGCTGGGCCTTCTCATTGTATAAGTATAGCTGTTGCAAGAGGTTGCACACAATCTGAAAAATAGTGGATTCAGATATTCCTGCATCCTGTAGTGGACTGATTGAACTGAGAAGTCTGCATGCAACTCAATATCAGTAAGTTACAGCCTGTAAAAGTACTGTACACTGGTGCAGTGACCAGTTTGCAGTAGGAGAAAGCTGAGTGAAATGTGCATGTAAGGGAATGAAAAAAAGAAGTTGTTCTACATTTCAGTTAAAGAAGAAAAATCCCCTTTAGTCTAAGGTATAAAATTAACAGTTTTCTAGAGCTCCACCAAGAACAGTCAAAATAATTGACTTCCATGATACTGATCATCATTGGAGTGAAAGTAATATGCAACAACCTTTTGCTACTTTGATTTTACACTTACTTTCTGGCAGCCTATGTAATCAACCTGAGTTGCCCCTGATCCTTCAGCCAAGGGTTTCCTTTTACAAATGTAGCCAAGTTTCATTTCACAAGTACTGTCAGCCCAGGATCCATCCTAAGAATGGCAAGAAGAAACCACAAAGTGAAAACTAGAGAAAATTAAGATCCAACAGGATTATTCACCATTCTCAGAAAGAACCCTTCTCTCTTTGTATGGATGAGACTGTTTCAGCTCTCTTCCTTGCCATGCTTTTTCTCCAAAACTCCCAAATAAAGACAGTAAAGACAACATTTTCTCAGAGTTATGAGAATGAGGGCTGAATTCAGTGGTTAATGAGAGCAGGAAGTAAACCTGTTGTTCCACTCTATTCTCACCAGCATAGTATCTATTATGTTCATATAACCAAATGACAGTAACAAGGAAATGATGGATAAACTAAATGTAAAACAGGAAAAAAATGTCTTGCTTAAGTCTTTATCCACAGCATTATATGCCCTTTTATGCTGCATATAAAATGAGAGAGAATTTTTCTTAACTAATTTTTTGTGCCTCCAGTAATACAAACCTCCAAAGTAGCTCTAAGAAATATATATTTTAGTTGTTTTAGAGAACACAGGAGAAAGTCTCTGCTCCAGGAATCTACTCTGCTGTGATCAGCTGTGTTGAACATGGATGATGAGTTATTTCAACCAATATTAGATGGAAACTGTTGCAGAGAAAACCAAATCTTCACACAGTGCATTGCTTCTGGTGCTCCATCATACAGCTTCCTAGATGTGGTATCCAGTCTCCCTCCACACTAAGATATTACTTAAATCAAGTTCATAAATACTTTCAAAGCCATCATCCCCTTTTACTTTTTTTTCAGTTTGGTTTTTGGCGATTTTTTTGTTTGGTTGGTTGGTTGGTTTTGTTTAGTTTGGTTATTTTTTTAAATCACATTTTCCTTTTGAGGGGCACAAAGGACAGACAAAAGCATGAGAGTGGGGGGAGATTTTTACCTCTCCCTTCATAACGATGCAGTCTGCCTTATCTGATGTGTGGGCTGGCTCTCCGTAATGCCATTTGGTATAAGTCACAGGTGTGCCATCACTCCATTCAAAATACATTCGAACCTTGAAGTCATTTAGCCCAATCCACAGTTCATCATCTGGCTCTAGGAATACAAAGTTAATTGTAGGCATGGGTATGTCTTAAAAATAGAACAATCACACCTCACATTCACTTTTGACTGAAGAAGGATCTTTTTTAAAACAAATTAAACTCATGGTTACATTGATTAAATGAATAATAGCAATGGTATAATTTGAGACTAAAAAAAAGTGACCTGCAGGAATACTCACTGTACCCAAGCTGAGACACTGTAAAACTGTACTCCTCAATATTATGAATACTCGCCAGCTCTCCATCTTCTTTTCTACAGGCAGACTGGGCTTCTTTCCATATTTTTGGTGTTCTATAAATTCTGTAGCAATGACCTGCATAGGGCACCCATCCCCTGGGGCATTTAACAGGCTTTAAGTCACCTAAAAACAATAATGTCAAACAATTAATGAACAGTTTCAGTCAGTGCTTTATTTTCCTGAAAAAGAAAATGACCCATACTGACATGAATTTGAAACACTGAAGCATATACTGGCAGAGGAGAGAAGCCAAAGTCTGAGGATTGCAAAGATTACAAAACAGATTTTTCCCTCCCAGTTGTGCTGGGAGCTACCAAAAAAACCCCTCTTTTACCAGAATAAATAAAGACCAAGCAATTTGGCATGCAAACTTGCAGGGAATAAGTCTGTGTTAAATCTCCCTCAGTGAGGCTCTTGTACAACCATGTTTTACAGAAAAGGATCTTTTCCTACCCAGGGACTCTGTCTTGGTGAATTTCATAGATTTTTGTATGTTGGGTTTTTTTTAAAATGGAAACCTCACTTGCTCAGGAGCCAGTTGGAGCTCCTACACAGCCCAAATCCTATATAAGAGTGTCCAGACATTTATGTTATACCAGATGTGTCAGAAATCCCAGCTGCACAGAAATGCTGCACACCTTGTTCAGCACCTGTTATCTAGTATGGTCAGCAATCTTCCACTGGTTGGAAAGTCCATATGATTTGCATCTACACGGTAAACTAAGGAGGGGAGGATGTGTGCCCAACACTGGTGTGTGATCAACCACTTTGTCTGGTGCTCCCTAGACAAGGTTTCAAACTGGGTGAACTTGCATTCTCCTAAATAACATCCAGGCATGGCTTGGAGGTTAGCATGAGTGAGCAACCTTTCCAAGTGAACTGTCTGGATGTAGCCAGAATGTACAGGATATGATGTGCCATGCATCTTGTGAGCCAGAGAAAAAAATTATTTACCAATATATATGCAGTTGAGGGGGGTACTGTGGACTTAGTTGCATGCTGGGAATTCCCAGGTGAAGCAACTGCACACCTATTTCTTCACACAGATAAGACCTAGTCTGCCTCAGGTGGAAAGGGAACTCAACTGGGGAAAGGTTCCAGATGCATATTCTGATTTTCTCTTTAGAGCATTTTTCAGAGCACAGGATATTCATCAGTATTTCATGGTCTGGACAACATGACTAAGCACATAATCCTGCCTTTAGTATCCTGGGATCTTCTCAAAATTATGATCAACATCTAGACATCATCTTTAAAATGAGCTGGAAAATTGAAGTCTTCTCAGTGTTTGTCCCATGTCAACCAGTGTAATCCTTTTGTTTTGACAATATAGTTTCATTTCATATATGGTATCCTCCCAGTATTACTCACTGGCTGTAAAAATAGCCTTAGGTTTTGACCAATTTACCTGAAGCTATAGTGAAGGTGTCCAAGGAGGTGTTTCTCTTTTGGCAGATATATCCCAGTTTCCGATCACATGCCTGGTTTTCCCATTTGCCATTTCTACCTTGGAAGGTCCCACATATTTTTCCAGATTCCACAGAGGGATTTCCTTTTAAAAACAGGCACACAATTATTGAAGAGAAGAGAAGAGAAGAGAAGAGAAGAGAAGAGATTTGCCCTGATACTGATCATCATTTGAGAAAAGTACACTTACCTGGAGCCCAGTTTAGGTATCTGAAAGGACTACCCCCAGTCCACTGCCAGCCACTGTTGAGTGTGCTGTAAAGACCAGTCCAGAGCTTTACATTTACACCCAGGTCACTAGTGAGCCCTAAATGGCCAAAAGAAATAGTCAAGTTATTAAATGCATATGGTTTTTAATTTGTTCAATGAAACTTGAAATAAAATTTTAAAGCATGAGGTGGGCGGGGGAAGTGCCATAGGAGATACCTTCATTTAATATAGGTTAGATTATTTCCTTTTTTTTTTTTTTTCTGTAAGAAAGCACAAGCTCTTTTAAGCAGGTAACTGAGATGTATTTTCACAAGGCAAATGTAAATATCCATGTTAAAGTTCTTGGAGTTGACCTACATTTTAAACAATGCATTATTTTTTATATTTAAATTATTCAATTTTTTTTTACTTTACCTAATAAATACATTTCTTCATGAAGATCTGTGACACTTATTAACTCTGCATTCTGCTGCTGGCAGCTTTTCCTTGCTTGGTGCCATGTCAGAAGTGACTGTGAGTTTATCTGATACTGGATCCCTGTCATAGGATTCGTTTTCCAAAGGTCATTGTTGTTGGTGTCTATAAAAGATGATACCAGCAATTTGACAAGATAATTATACTTGCTAACCCAGAAAATAAAATCTTTGTTGCAGACTAGACACATGTAACTGTACGACTTGATAAATTTTGTTTATATTTTTCCCCATTGAAATATGCTTTGTCTGTTCAAGATTAATAATATATTAATCACATAAGGAATATTTTCCCCTTACAAACCTAATTTTTCTACATTGACCTTGTTCTTTTTTATTTATATAACTCATATACTTTTCTCACAGCTCAGTCCATATTAATGCATTCACTGATATATTCTACCTGTACACAAGTATTTCTCTATTCTCCATATAGAAATCTTGGTCTCTGCATGCATATCTTACCTTCAGACTTCTCTTATGCTCTCCCAGACCTCCCAATATGACAAAATGATCTTTTCTAATCAATTAGATGTGAAGTGGGGATTAAGGGATAGAGAATTTGTGCTGGGGTTATTGGAAATCTATGTTGCATCATTTGCAGGTATACGGAGCACTGGAGCACCAAAGTCAGGTGAGAGTCACTGCCTTTGTCCTGCATCCTTCCATTCACTCCAGACTTCCTGTTCTCTCCTCCATCCTGTGATACACAACTGTCTCCTGCTTCCTTCTATCTAACCTTACTCATACATTGCACTTCTTTCTGCCTTTTATTTGTCCTGACTTTCTTCTCACCAGGTCCTAAGGGGTTTTTCTTCCTTTTTCCATCCGTTCCAGCCACCACGCTCAGAATATTCCCTATTTATACCAATCTTGGGAGCACTGTAGGACAGTGAGAGTGAAAAGCAGATACCTCCTTTAATCATTGGCCAAGAAGGCAAATGGCATCCTGGCCAGTATCAGAATCACTGTGGCCAGCCTGACTAGGGAAGTGATTGTCTCGGCACTGGTGAGGTCACACCTTGAATCCGTTCCAGCCACCACGCTCAGAATATTCCCTATTTATACCAATCTTGGGAGCACTGTAGGACAGTGAGAGTGAAAAGCAGATACCTCCTTTAATCATTGGCCAAGAAGGCAAATGGCATCCTGGCCAGTATCAGAATCACTGTGGCCAGCCTGACTAGGGAAGTGATTGTCTCGGCACTGGTGAGGTCACACCTTGAGTTCAGTTCTCCTCACTTCAAGAAGGACAAGGATCTGGAGCACAAGTCCTGTGAGGAGTGGCTGAGAGAGCTGGGGTTATTTAGCCTGGAGAAGAGGAGGCTCAGGGAGGACTTTATCACCCTCTACAACTACCTGAAAGGAGGTTTTAGCCAGGTGAGGCCTGGCCTCCTCTCCCAGGCAACTAGTGACAGGACAAGAGGACATAGTCTTAAGCTGGGCCAGGGGATGTTTAGGTTTGACATTAGGAGTAATTTCTTCACAGAAATTATGATCACACATTGGAACAGGCTGCCCAGGGAGGTGATGAAATCACCATCCCTGAAAGTGTTTAAAGCAAGACTGGATGTGACACTTTGTGCCATGGTCTAGTTGAATGGTGGTGTAAGGTCATAAGTTGGGCTCGATGATCTCAGAGATCCTTTCCAATTTAACTGATTCTGTGATTCTGTGATCATTGCATAGCTCACCAGTAAACTAGGCTGCCCAGAATTCAGTTTGCTATCCAATGCTACTTCCACATCTCATGACCAAATTTTGCTTAACACCTTTCCAGAAATTTTTATAAATAAATTACCTTTCAGTGGACAGTTTCCAAACATTTGGTCTTTATCAAAATCTGAAGTAGTTGCACACCACAGAGAGCCTGAGTCGTGACTCCGGGGGATGCAGTCAGCATACCATTTACCCTTGAACTTAAAAGGAAACATGCAAGGTGCACCAAAGGCATTTCCTCCCAGTGTATAGATATCTATGGAGAGAAACATAGACCAATATTAGTCAGTTGGTATGAGATAATCATCACAGTGACCCTCATAGGCAGCTCTCCATGGACACAGATGGATTGTGCAGAGCTCAACACATCAGTACATCGTGACCTCAAACTTTTTCAAGGCTGTTGTGGCAATAGAATCAAAACTCTCAAACAGCACTTAATTTGGCCTCAAACTAATTTCTATCTATCCTTTTCATTTTATTGTTTTCTGGACTACTATATCAGAGGTCCAGAGGGCCCTGTGACTCAGCTTCTCCCATTGCATTCATACTCTGTCTTTGGATGATGTTTATGTTCTTAAAGACTTGGAAAAGAGATATCACAATATTTTTATTAGTCTTCGGGAGAGGAAGTAATGTCTTAAATTTGCAAGTGACTCTGCTAGGAAGTGACCCCCCCATTGCTATGCAGTCTAATTTGCTGCTATCAGTACAAAATTATGCCAAACTTCATTCCTCTGAAACAGTTATAGGACACAAAAAATTTCATCCCTTGTTATTTAACTTCTCAAGCTACCAGTGTCACAACAGAAAGGAGTTTGGTCACTTGAGCTTGGATGCACACTTTACATGGCCATAAGGAAATTTGACTCTCTAGTGGTCAGTGTGATAAGACTTACTGCATCCTAAACCATTAGGATCCGGTTTTCCTTTTGCTTTTTCCTGCTTTTTCTTTCTACTGGGCCTAGGTCAACATTGTTAATAGTGGATTACACCTATGTTAACTAGAAATTAACTTCTTAGAGATAGAACGTCATCAAACCAAGTAATAGCAACAATAAAAACTAAATATAATGCAATCATCTCTTCTACAAATTGATCAGATCTATTTTGAAACAGTCATAGATTTGCTGTTGCTGTACAAACAGAATTCATATTCTTCCTTATGACATCATAGGCCTTTGTCATTTCATTCTGTCATTTGAAAGAATTGCACTTTGCAAGTTATGCAGAAATGTCTACAGATATATTTGCCAAAAAGTGTACAGTTGTATCTGCCTTTCAGTTCTGCACCCTAGTTATAGCTAGCTCCACTAGTGATGTCACTATAAGAAAAGGGTTGCTGCCTGTCAAACAGGCATGGAATGCTTTGTAGATAGGGGCACTCAAGTTAGAGAATTTTCAGTACTCACCCTCATAGCGCTGTAAGCACACACTGTCTGTAGTTCCATGGATTTTCCATCTGCTCCCTTTGCCTGATCCTTCGGACAGCCTGATTTTCTTCCCCTTCCCTTTGCCATAGCTGAGAAACAACTCCTTGCCGTAGGTTGCAAATGTCTCATTTCTACATTCCCACCACTGGAGTTCATTTGTCCTGTTACAGGATTCCAACGTGACGGCAGCGTCATCGTTCTTGGTGAGCACTCCCAGGCACAGCTTGAGTGCCACACTCAGCAGCTGTTTGGCAGAGACCCACCTAAACTTTTGAAACTCATCGTGCTCATTACAAGTGGTAGTTATGATTGAGCTAGAGTTCTGAGCTTGGGCACAGAGCTTGCTATCTTCATTATAGATTGAAAATATTCCACTACCTATAAAATAAAATGATAATGCAAACATCTGAGGAGACATTTCTGAAGAGATAATTAAGTTACTTGCTATCTGACAGTCTGTTAAAAAAATATAAATATATATAGTTCATAGAGAAAGAAACCAGGGGAGGTTAATTATCAGTATGAAGGATATTCATGAAAATATTCTTAAAATGAAAGCAACAGGGAAGGTGAAAATACAACCCTTTCAGGAGAAATTGCTTTTCTTCACATCACTCCTGAAAGCACACTGGTCTCAAAATGCCTGTCAAAGCAGACCTTTATTAGATTTCATTACTTCTTCAAAGTTTCACCACAGCATATTAAAGAGACTTTAAGTATGCAAATAAAACAATTTTTTTTCTTTAGAGCTATTAAAAATGGTTTACATACACAAGATTAAACCATTTTTAAATTTTCCCCAGAAAAACATTGTGGGTTTCAGCTTATCAAGAGAGTCAGGTATTTTTCATTTTTGGTTAATTATCTTGGAAAATTTTGGCAGCTGTGCATAAAGTCATTTCTTCACAGAGTTCAATTTGTGAGTTTCTCTGGAGGGAAACCACAACTTGCAGTATCATCAATTCTGAGCATGGTTAAACTGAGTAAGTATCCTAAGCGCCATTAATAGCTACACTTGTAAATAGACCAGCTTCAAAAAAGGTGCACAACTTCAGCCTGCTCCAAATCTTGAGTGACAGGCAAAATCATCCCACTCACTCTGCTGTTCCATTGAGCTTTACTCAAGGTTTCTTGACGGGGTGGAATACTGAAGTGAGTCTTCATAACCCTCCCTATCCCAGAGCTGCCTGGGAGTGGTTGAACAGCCTTGGTGATGTTGCTCTGAAAGGCTACTGATCAGAACAAGCTAGATGGCATTTCTCCTGGCACAACTCTCCTGCTACAGTGGTTCTTGAGAAGATTAGCAGAGGATGGGTTAGAGCCAGCCTGGAGTCACCCAAAAACATACACAGAAGAAATTGTCCTGTAGTGGATCAGGCTATTGCACTGACAGCAGTAGCACTAGACTCTCAGAGTTGTTTAGCTGGGAGCTTCCCATGGGAAAGAGCTGCAGACAGAGCATCATTTTTTTCCCCTCAGCAGTAGGAGTATCTGAAATCTAATGGACAGAAGCTTTTAAGATCCTTCCTAAAGCTGTCAGCTTGGGAACATCACTTCAATATGTAATGTTCAGTATGCTATGGTGTATATGAGTTGTCTAAAAAACTCAAAGCATGCATCAGCCAGTAGTTCTGTGCATGCTGAGAGTCCACCACCCTGTATTTCTGAGCAGTTGTAGCCTCCAATGGAGTAAATTGAGATCAGTTTTGCCTGCATCCAGCTGGCTCACTTTCAAGAATCAGCACTGCCTAGGTTATCCCCACATCTGTTGGCATATTCCTTTCACTCATACACCATCTTGAAAACTGGGTTGATGAAAGAGAATGTCTATAAAGATGCCACCAAATTTCAGAGTTGCATAAAACTATTTCAAATTACATGCTGTGACTAGATCTAAATTCACTGCCCATCAAGGGGGACATCAAGAATGCATGCATGATAAAGAACTTGCAAACATCCATACTCAGCAGAAGACAAAGACTTACCAGATACTTGAAGAGATGTGCTAAAGGAGAGGACCAAAATCAGGGGCAAGTAGGCAGACATGGCCAAATATTTTGCTCACTTCTCCTCTTCACCTCAAATTGATGCTGAAGACCAAATCAGTGCCTTGCAAGAAACCCAACTGCACTGAAGAGGATTAACAAACACTTTTTAAGACTCAACAGATACAGGGAAGTTCTGAGCTTGAAATAAGGAACTGTGTCATGTCACATGAGTAATTTTGAAATGATACATTAATGAATAAACTTTGCTTTCTAAGCTAGTTTCTCTGCCATACAAAAGTTTTCCATGGAAATATGAGATCTAACAGGTAACATTTTATTGTGGATTTTGTAAGACATACCTTAAAATTCATAGTCATTATTTTTGCCAAAAAAAAGGTGAGGTTATTGTCTCTTTTCCAGAAACAAATGAATGAAGTAAAAAAGAAGAGGAAGATTTGTTTATATCAATAAATGATGAAAAGAACCAGAGCACAATGCAATACTGTGAAAAACTGGCTGGGACACCATGCAAATTGAATAACTATGACCTTGGAGTCAGAGAGAACCGGAATTTCCCATGTCTCCAGTTCCACAGACGAGAAAAGCTGCATAAAATAGGATCTGTGCTCTTCAGGAGGCACCTGTCCATTCTTTTGCTCCATTACTATGTGCAGGAGCAGTGTAGCCAACTGACAGTAACAACTGAAGAAATTGGGAAATCACAGTTCTAGGAAGAAGGGAACCCGTAACTGGAAAATTGTGGGTTTTCAATTGTTGCTAGTGAGGAAAACTAAACTGATAAAGAATACTGGCACATATTTCATCCCACTAGTCTGTGAAAGTTTTAAACCCCTAAACTGCACACCCTTCAAGTGTGGTTACTTAGAAGAAGTCTTTCCATGATAACTAAAAGACCTAGAAAAGCATAGAGAGTAGGGAAGATAAAAGGCACTCCTGTGGAAGCTTTACATCCATTTTTTCTTATGAACTTTGAAAAATGCAATCTCCCTTATCTTCAGAAGAGGCTGGCATGGGATCACTTTCCCAATATTCTATTTGCAGTGAATACTCTTAAGGTTTTTGCCCCCCGCCCCCGAATTGCTGCTGTTGCAGGCAGTGAAAACCCTGAACACCCACATGAAGATGAGGGACCTTTCTTCTATTGCTCTGACTCAGCTGCAGATGAATGACCCACTGGGTCTCATAAGGTATGAAGGGAATTAGAGCAGAACAAAACTACAACAGTGAGAGAGAATAGTGGGACCTGAAGGCCAGCAAGTACAGCTAGGTCAAAACTATGCAAAGAATGTGAGCCTGAGAAGGGTACTGAGACTTGGAAAAGGGGACTGCTCCACAAAGAAGTGATGGTTAATTACTCAGGATGTTATGATGCATGTGCAAGGCTGGCTGCACTGAGTCTGGAGTCAAGCATTCTGGTACTCCTCAACACGGAAGTGCTTGACTCTGCAACTTCAACTTTCCAACTTTCCTTGCTTCCTTGTTCGGGAGCTCCAGATGTGTAGATGGAAAAAACCCTATTCTTATTTATTATTTAGACAGGAGAAATGTCATGTCTTATGCTTCTGCAGTATACAACATCTCAGAATCTCCAAAGCTACCGGGAGGCAAGAAATACTATTTCAACAGGGAAAAAGAAACCAGTTCGGTTCTGAAGAAGGATCAGTGTTTGGTGAAGGACTGGAATTGACAATCTGCTGAGAGAGGCTGAAGAAGGGTAAAACACGTTATGATCAGCTTTACCTCTGTGTTTGCATGTATATCTGAGCCCACAAAGTGGGAAAGAAAATCAGAGGACTGCAAAGATGCACTCCAGGATCTGCCACATGGCAAGGTGCATTGTGACATTTTAGAAGTGGTGGGGACGAAAGGCTGCTGAGTTTTGAGTTGAGTCAGCATTGTTCCTTTGGCAATCTCTGTTCCCAAGCAGGAAGTTATGCTTGCAGTGTGCAAATTCACCACCTTTCTTCTAAAGTCCTAACTTATCTGGAGAAAAGGGGAAATGAAAATTAAGCACAAGGGTATCAAGTAACGTAGCAATGCACAAAGAAACAAAACTTTACGTAATATTGAATATTGCCATCAAGTCATTCTTCAGCTGCCCACAGAAATGCATGGTTGAGTCTGTCTGGGTTCAACTTGATGCTTCCCTACAGAAGCTAAATAATTCTTTTTCAAAAAACACTTGTATTGAAATTTGAAAGTAATTTTATGATCATTTGTCCTGTTATAATTTGATATAAGATTTTAATCCAGGATCCCCACATATAACACAATTACAGTTTTCGACCATAAACATTTATTTTAATTAACAAAAATAGTCTAAACCTCAGTAGAAATATTCTAGCCTAAAAAAACCACAACCAAAACCCAGGACGTGAACAACCTTTTACTTTCTCTAGACAGACCCAAAACATACTGAAAGAGCAACATAAACCACCTTGCACTTTCACACTATGTATATATATATCAGTCTATTGAGGTGGGCTGATGCCAACCTCATGGAGTTCAACAAAGTGAATTGCAAGGTCCTACTCGTGGGTCACAGCAATCCCAGGCACACCTACAGGCTGGGCTTAGAATTGATTGAGAGCAGGCCTGCAGAGAAGGTCTTGGGGGTGATGGTTGATGAAAAACTCAACATGAGATGGCAGTGCATGCTTGGAGCCCACAAAGCCAACTGAATCCTGGGCTGCACCAAAAGGAGTGTGGACAGCAGGTCAGAGGAGGTGATTCTTCCCCTCTGCTCTGCTCTTGTGAGGCCCCACCTGGAGTACTGTGTACAGTTCTGCTGTCCCCAGTATAAGAAGGATATGGAACTGTTGGAGCAAGTCCAGAGGAGCGACACAAGGTTGGTAAGAAAGCACCTCCTTTATGAAGACAGGCTGAGAAAGTTGGAGTTGTTCAGCCTGGAGAAGAGAAGTCCGCATGGAGACCTCATAGCAACCTTCTAGTATCTGAAGGGGGCCTACAGGGAAGCTGGAGAGGGACTCTTCATCAGGAACTGCAGAGACAGGACAAGGTGCAAACTGACAGAGGGGAAATTTGGGTTACATGTTAGGAAGAAATTCTTTACTGTGAGGGCAGTGAGACACTGGAGCAGGCTGCCCAGGGAGATTGTGGATGCCCCAACCCTGGCAGTGTTCAAGGCCAAGTGGGATAAGGCCATGCCAGGGGGGCTGGGACTAGATGATCTTTAAGGTCCTTCCAACCCCTTAATATTCCAAGATTCTATGATTTTGTTTCCTTTATTGAATCCATTTCTTTTGTTCCATTTAATAACTAGCCAACATTATCTTTTTTCTTAAGACCCACATCACTGGTGATCAAAGTATGAGATCTGAAATCTCACACCTTATACAATGGCTACGAAATAAAGTAACTGCTATATAAGACATTACAGGCTACTACAGTAATTTCATACAAGAAAATAGCTTTGGTTTAATTCTAATTGCATAATTTTATTAAAACAAGGCACATTTTATTTTTTTACATTACATCTTATATTACATATTACATTACATTTCATTTTGTTACATTACAGTGTTGCATGTTCATTCTGTTCTATGTTAGTCACAAGATCCTTTGTATCACTAGTTCCATCACTATTAAAATACAAATTGTTCTCAAAGCTGTCATTTGTTGGCAAGAGATTCTTTCTTCTTTTGTAGAAAGCTCCAAGGGCACTTCCAACTAGCGTGAGGACAACAACAATAACTACAATTCCTGTTTTACCATGGTTCAGGATCGAAGCTTTTTCATCCTTTGTTGTTGCTGAAAAAAAAGTATAAACTAATCAAGAGGATGCTACATACTCTTTATCTAATTACTGGAAAAAACTTCTTTAGAATGCATAATCTTTAAAGCAAAAGCATTTCATTTGTTTCAAAATAATGAGACAAAGGTAGCAACACAAAACGAATTGATAGCAAATTGCTAGTATTGCATGCTATATCAAAATTATTATTTTCAAAATGTATATTTGGACACTGAATGGAATGTAATGCATACCACTAGGAAACAATATGCTCCTTGGAAGCAGATACAGTACCTGGGTATATCAGAAAATGTAAGAGATGGTAGAGAATAGGATTTGGTTTGTTTATGATCTTACATGGGACTAGCTTTTAGGTACTTGAAAGACAATATTCTTACCCTTTGTAGGCATTTCAGCTGGTGGCACTTCAGTTGTTGGTGGCCTTTCAATTGCTGGCATTTGAAAACATTGAAAAATAATTACATTATTATATTATTCTCTAATTTATTTCTCTATTGTTTATTATTTATTTCTATATGTGGAACATACTGAAAATCATGTTCAAATAAATATATGGTAATACAAACCACTAAATACTGAAAATACCTGGGTTTAGTTCAAAGTTATATACACCTAAGATATAGCACAATGGTGTAGTGTATTCTGGACTCATGGACATCAAAAAGCTCCATGAAGACTGATCCAGATACTACAGTAAAGCCACAAGAAAATCTACCCAGCATCTTCAGTGTAGACATGATCAAACATAATCCTCAATTTAATTAAAAATTCCAGCAGTATTTGTTATATAAGCATAGCAAGAGTCATAAATTTGGTTTGCCAAGTGACTTTAATGGCTTACCTACACAGACACCTGAAATCATTAATGAACTTCAAAGTGTCTTAGAACGAATCACATCCAAACTAAGATGTTTATAGCTCATTTAAAATTTAATATCTGGACCATGAAATCTGGCTTGCTGGGAAAACTGGACCATTTTTTAAGACGAAGATCTGTATTTTGCCATGTGGATATAAAATCAGTCTGTAACAAAATGCTGAATCAATTCATCATGCTTTATTCTGAAAAAGATGAGCTCAGGAATTTGAATTATTTTTACCAATCCCCACTTACATTGCCTAATTTCATCAATAATCCAACAATCTCAGCTTCCAAAGATTTTCTAGAACTCTGTTGAAGTGTCACTTAGCTCACCTACTTTTATGTTTAGAGACAAATATTAATCTATATTTAGCTTTTCAGAGTGCAGCTAGTCATGATTATATGGATCTTTCCAAGAATTTCTGTCAAGAAACAGTTCTATTAATGCTGCTTACAATAAATTATTTGTTACTTTTCTGTACTACACTAGCATGCAGATCTATGGAAAACAGAGAATCTGGGAGCTTTCTGTATTTAAATGTTCTTTCTGGAGACATGGCATGTTTACTACAGCACATCATGTCCAGTTCTGGACTCCCCAAGAGTCCAGAAGAGTGAGAAAGAACTACTGGAAAGAGGCCAGTGAAGGGACTGCAGCATCTCTTTACTTGAGGAAAGGCTGCAAGACCTGGAACTATTTAGCCTAGAAGAGAAGGTTCAAGGGGATCTTATCAATGTATACAAGTATCTGAAAGGACAGTGTGAAGCTGTCTTTTCTTCACAGTGACAGGAGCAGAGGCAGTGGACACCACTGAAACACAGGAGGTTCCCTCTGAACATCAGGAAACACTTTTTCACTGTGAGGGTGACAGAGCACTGGCACAGGCTGCCCACGGAGGTTGTGAATTTCCATGCTTGGATATATTCAAAACCCATCCGGACATGTTCCTGAGCCACTGGGTCTAGGCTGGGTCCCCACTTGAGCAGGGGGCTGGACCAGATGACCTCCAGAGATCCCTTCCAACCTCAGTTGTCTGTGGTTCTGTGACTGTGTAAAGATATCTTATGACATACCTTATGTGCAAAAGCTCAACGTAAAAAACAGTCTCAGAAATGTAAGAAGGAATAGAAGAAAATAATTTATATTATGAAAACTTGGAAAATTAATCCTTTGGCTGCATTTCTTCATTTGACTGGACAATTTTTGGAATATAATAACATAGACATTTTTTCCTTGTTCCTCATGGAGAATCTTTGATTGACCAAGTTTGGTATAGCACTGATGATGTACATTATGCACATTGCTCTAGGTTTGGTATGAGATGGCTGCATGCTAAACCTACCTACATGTTAAACAAGCAGTATATTAAGGGATATGAATCTGCTATTCCTGAAAAGTGAGAGTGAGATGCCATGAATATAATAAAGAATCACAGAATCATAGAACAGTTGGGGTTGGAAGGGACCATAAAGATCATCTAGTTCCAAATCCCCAGCCATGGACAGGGATACCTTTCACTAGACCAGGTTTCTCAAAACCTTGAACACTTCCAGGGATAGGGCATCCACAACTTCACTGGGCAACCAGTTCCAGTGTCTCACCACCCTCACAATCAATAATTTATTCCTAATATCTGATGTATATCTACCCTCTTTCAGTTTAAAGCCATTACCCATTGTCCTGTCACTACATGCCCTTGGAAAAAGTCCCTCTCCAACGCTCTTATGATGCATCATAACAGGTGAATGGCAGTACCAGCACAAATAGTGAATGATCAGAAAGGAAAGTTGGTGGTCATCCATTTTAACACTTGTTACCTAGGTCTATATTCTGGATAGAGAATGAAAATAAAGGACTTTTTGTTTGGTCATTCACAATGCAAAAGGGCAGATGAACAGACTCTGAATGGGTGGCTACATCTGACAGCTCTGCAATATTTCCTGTAGAAAATAAAGTCATCATTACAAGCATTTGAGTAAGTAAGAATAATTTTGCATGAGAGCAAATTTATAGAAAGGATAGCAGAATTTCTCTCATTTCCAGCATTGTAGAGGAAGTGGGTGTATTTCAGCTAATACATGCATTTCACTCTTCTCAGTAAACATTAGTAAGAGATTTTGATATTGCAATACATGCTGAAGAAATTACTACAATGACTTTTAGAAACACGTATGCACTAGCTGTCCTTACTGTCAAATTTGCATGTTCAGTTACTTCAGTACACTTCAGCACATTCAAACTTTGCTATCTGCTTTGCTTTCCATTCATTTCACAACAGGAGAACACAGAGACAAAAGATCCTAAACCATTAATTCATTCACAGTAAATACTCAATTCACAGAAACACTACTTCATACTGAGAAAACGCATGCACATGAGACTGTCAGAGGGAAACAGATAAGCAAAGGGTACTCCCTGGGTGGAGCAGAGGGGATGCCCTAAGGAATGTGTTTTCGTGTAGATGAGACAAATTTGTGAATGCAAGGCAGGGTACTTACATTGCCATTACTCAGCAATTATCAATACAGAACACACAAACTTGTTAAGTGTTCATGTTAACTAGGTATAGTTAAGATAGGAACAGTCTTTTAAACGCAATTCTGAAGGGACTTGAAAGGACTTGCTGGCAAGAATTATATCTCTTTTTTTGGCATGCAAATGTACATCTTTTGGCATTTATAAAAACTCAAAACACCCAGCTAAAATGCATTGCGTATAATGGCCACCTCCTAATGACAGCATACAAAGATCAGGCTCCATACACTTACTTTTTGGCTTTTTGCAAACATAGCCTTTGTAGAGTCCGCAATTGATATTATTCCAGTGCCCAGAGCTTGCAAACATTTCAACACAGTGCTCATTTTGTTGAGGAGTAGGTTCTCCTGCATTCCAGTTGACAAAGTTCACTGCAGTGTTGTCTAGCCACAGCCATTGTCCTAATTAAAAAAGCATTGAAAATGGAGAGAAAAAAAAGATCGTTTTATTTCTGTACTGACACCTTCACATGCTCCACATTTACAGCCTTCCTGAAAAATTTACTTGTGGCTACTTTTGGAGTTAGGCCACTAGTCTGGTTTTTTTCTCTGACACACGTTGCCCCTAAGTTTTTATGCAAATGATACCATATCAATTTTTGGAAAATCACAGGCTTATGATGTTAGAAATGCAAGACAATTTAAAGAAGTATCTCCCGTAAATTTTTTTTCAATGGTGCAGTCTCCATTATTTATTCAGTTTATAGCAGTAATTGATGTCAAAATATAAATTATCTTCACCTGAATGCTCTTTATTTCAGTAATTTGTAGGGAGGTTTTGTGTTACTCTTTTCAAAGCCTGCACTGAAGTCTTTCTAAGTGCAATTTTATTCTGTTTGTTTTTCAGTTTCTGCTCCTTTCCACAAGCTTTACACACACGACTTTCCTTTTTATAGCTCTGCTTCAAAAATCTTGTGATCGCTGTTGTTCAGCTATGCTGGGACTTTCTGTCTCTTCCTTCCTGTTCCTTTTTTCTTTCTTTCTTTTAATAGTGCTATTTATTTGGAATAAATCTGCCCCTTGTGACTCTAAGTTGTACTCAAGCAAATTCTTAGACTCAGCGTGAAAGCTATAGTTTGTTTTCTTATAAGATTCTAAGAAGATTCTGTAAGAATGTATAAGATTCTTGCCTTTTTTTTTTCCTTAAGAATTCCTGCCACCCTTTGTGTCAGGACATAGCATCTGTATGCATACATAAAAATAGGAAACTTAGTTGTGCAGTCATGCTGAAATTACTATAATCACTAGCAGTATAATGACAAGCTGAAGCATCTCTTGTGTTTATGGTCATTATAACAACTCTACTGTTCTGCACTGCTCTAGAACAACTTTAAAAAACATTTTTGTGTCAATCAACCACATGAATAAGCCTCAGTTTTTCTTTATGTATTATGCATAAAAATCATTACTCTCAATGCTGAAAACTGCTGAAAACTTCCACTTTTCCTGGTTAAGATTCAAGTAATGTAATTGAATACTTGTCTTCTCCATAGGCAGTGTCATAGAAGTGCTTGAGTAGGCAGTTGTAACAACAACTCCTCCAAAACTCAAAAACCACAATCCCAAGTCACTTGAACTATTCTACAGTTCTGCCTCTGACAGATATACTTGTACTTTTAGACTGAACAGTACAACACTGAAGTAGCTTTTAAGTCTATTGTAAAGACAGAAATGTATATTTAGTTGAATACTAATTGTATTAATGGAAAAGCAATAATCAGCAAATTCAAAATTTAATTAAAATAGGCAGAAAAGAGAAAAACTTGTAATACACATTTTCAAGGGCACTAACAATCACATCTTCAAAGCGAAGCTGTTCTGAGGGCCTGCTGTAACTAAAATGAGCCATTCCAGGATGGTGATTCCAAAGACTGGAGACGATGTTAGCCACATTATTCTTTAGCTCAGAAATTGAAATATCTTAATGAAAAGCACATCAATCCAGAGCCTCTTCACATTTGAAAAGAAGCATTTGACTCTGGCTCAACTCTCAACATGGTCGATCCTGTCCGCGCTCTGCTATATGCACTTTTGTGCCTTACTTTGTTGTGAATTCATTCCTCTAAGAAGAAGTTTCTGTGCCTGATCTTTCTGTTATATGTTATATGCTATTGCTTGACTGTAATTGACCAGCTTCCCCTATGATGATAATGTATTACCTTTTCTAATTGTCACTATTTAAGTATTACAGAAGTAGAATGCAAAATTTTCAACAGTTTGTGACAATTATTCACAAAGCAAAAAGATATCAAAAGCAAAGAAAGTACCGTCCACATTTCTGTACAATCCTGTCCAAAATGTTCGTGTTTTCCCTTCAAGTGGTTCAGTGATGTGTGTCAGAAAGTTGGCTTCAGCTGAGTCTTCAACTGATACCAAAGAGGCACCTGAAAGACACAGGGAAAGAAAACTCTCTTAGAGATGTAAGTCTCACAGCAGAAAGCATTCTCATTCTCCTGTCAATGTAGTAGCTCACAAGAGCCCAGGAACAAAACTGAGTATCAGCAGAGAGAGGGAGAATCTTCTTACTCAGCTCCAGGTCCCTATATTTCATACGAGCTTCATTGGAAGTTTTGCTGTCAGTGAAGGCCTAGGGTGCAATTCACTTGACCAGAGGTCAATATATACTTCCAGTGAAGATAAATCTGTATTCAGTTCCACTGGCAGAGTGAACAAGATCTCTGCATACTCTAATGGGAGGTCAGACACCCAAGTCACATTGCCACCAATGCTATAGACAACAACGCTACCTATAAAGTCCAGCAGGATGACTCTTGCATCCCTTTCCCAAAGAAGAAATTTGAGAGAATGAAACCACCCAACAACCCTAGTTTACTAATATACTATCCAGCCTAGAGAGTTGTAACTTTCATTCCAGTGGCATAAAACTGCAATAATCAAGGAGTAAATTCGATCAAGAATACAAAAGATACAAAATTACATTAAAATAAGCATTGGTGACTGCTGTGGATGAGGCTGTCTAACTCCAATCAGGGTTCAAGCAAAAATTTTCCACTTTCTTGATCTTCACTCCAGGCCACACAGTTCCTCTCATGCCTGGTCCCACATGCATGAAAGCCAGTGTGTGCCACTGGTAGACAGCCATTTTCTGTAACCTCCCAAATTAAGGTAATAATTGTATGAAACAGTCTTGTCCAACACTTGGACCATCCTTGAAATCACAAAGACACATAACACATGTTCAGCTTTCCACAGAGAGGAAAAACAAGACAGAAAGATGCGCTCATTAAGTAGGATACTCACCCAGTCGTAGACATTCTAAAGATGCCTGGGCCCAATTTCTTGCAGATGAAGATTCAGTGTAGTAGCAATGACCTCGGAAAGGGATCCAAGACTTGTGTCCTTCTGATTCAGGGCACTTTCCTGGAAGCTGAGGGGGCTCAGTGGGAGCTTGAACTGTTTTTTAAAAGTTTTAAAAAAGATGTCATTACTCCCTAATGTTCATTGCCTTTTGATTTTTGAAGTTTTAGATCCTGCATGCTTACCCAATAGCAGAATAAATACCAGAGTAATGTGAGGCTAAGTTTTGCAAAATATATCTAACATTACTGATGTAAAGTGATGGCTATTCACAGTCACACTAGCCCTTTCTTGATATGTCTGCCCTCATTTTGAAGCAGCCTCACTCAACCCAAGCAAATTTTGATAATTTCACCTACTTAGCTCTGAAATGAAACCCAGTGTCTCTGCAGAGATATTGATTGCAATGACAATGGTCAGATTCAAATTCTTACCATCAGGTTTTTTGCAAACAGAGAAGTAACTTTCATTGCAGGATCCTGTCTTCCAGGATCCAGTAATGTCTAGATAGACACAGCCTGTTTTCTGCTTTGGCTCCCCTTCAGCCCATTTCGTATACTTCATTCTCCAGTTATCAATCCATACATAGCGCCCATTAGTCTAAGAACAAAACAAATCAATTGCAATGATTAAACTCTGAGCATTAACCAGTCATTCCTCAGTCAAATGTCTGTCTGTGCAGCACCTTGAGCTAGCAGATTTTTTTAAGAAACCAATAACAAATGCAAGTGGCTCAAACTTTGAAATTTTTGTTGTGGCAAAGTGCTATTCATTGAGAAATACAGCAGTGCCACAACTGCTTTTCAGCAAAAGGAAATGCAGCATAAGTGATATTGAATTAATTTTGAACTTAATACCTTTAATTTGGGACTAATAACAATTTCATTGAAAATAATTTGCAGGAGTAAAATTCTGATGACTAATTTTTGCACTGTCTCTTTCCACCCAAATTTCAAGACACAGTTATTTTAACTAGTTGTACATTTAAAAACTTAATCATTTCCCACAAAAACTGGTGAACTCAGTGAATCATCCTGTTGATTAATGCCAGAGGAATCTTTTGGCTTTGAGGAAGTGGTGTGTTATGCTCACTCATTTTATTTTTTTATGTGCTCAGCCAAATGTAGTAAGTGTGGGACAAGTGTCAGTGCCTAAAAGAAAGTGTTGTATTTTAATATGCATAAAGTAGCAAAATATCAAAGAACTAAGAGAGGGGAGACAAAATTAAATTAGGCAAACCAATTATTTGGCTAACCATGCTCAAAAATGTTCAAATAGTTATAGTAACAACACCTTATTCGATTTCTGAAAATTAAATACCATTATTTAGAATAAATGCTTTCCTCTGTACTTCTTAACATACGTGGATTTTATCTCAAATACACCATATATACAGAGATATTTCAAGATGCCAGCCTAAAATGCATTCTTTGAAAGTGCACAGAGAGGAGTATCACTGCAAAAGTGTGAAAACCCCATGAAAAATATACTTTTTAATTAGATTAACAGAAGAGGGTAGATTCCTACCTATAAATGTGACAGCACACAAACGTATTTAGAGCCAAGATATAAACTAATAAGCTAAAGTAAAGAGAGATAATAAGACTTTTCACTTCCCAATTTGTCCATAAGTGAAGCAACGTCATTTCCAATTATTTTAACGTTCTTACCACATTACTGTTGAGACCAATCCACACTGGCACCCCATACTTTAATATCTTCAGCCACAGGAATGAATGACTGTAAGGGTCTAAGATGCTGGAAAGGTCAAATTGATCACGTTTGCAGTTTTCTCGTGCATCCTCCCATGTCATTTTGGTATGAATGAACAAATAACTACTGTTACCAAAATGGACAATGGTGGACGGGGATGCACTTGTAGAAGGCAGAAGCTCAGCATCTGTAAAATAAAGGATGAAAAAAAGACCCATATTCTTGTTCAAAAGGGAATTATGATTTCACTATGGTTGCAAATAGAATTAAAGGCCTTCTTCCTTGATTTCATATTCCCTGATTTATGGTCAGCATGGGTTAGATGCACTATTCTTTAAACCAGCATCAGTAGTAAAAATCAACTACAAAGCTGTAGAAAGGAAAAGAGCTGCTTGAAGTAACTTCTGATAAGCAGCAATGAAGCATTCTTTATAATGATCAAGAATAGTATTACTGATATGATTTGGGATTAGCCCATAATTTCTTTAATAGAATATTTTTTCATCAGACAAAATGCTTGCAGAAACTGTGTTGTTTTCCAGGGATTTTTTTTCTTTTGCTCAAGAAATTAAAAACTTCACAGCAGACCAGTCCTTAAAAATCAATCAGATATTTAAATAGAGGTTTTCACTGCTTTTTAGTTTCCTTTTTGAAGGTGATTTTCCTCGAGTTCAGTGCAGATGATTTACAGTGTCACTCCAGACAAATCATGCTACGTGTACAAGCCAGTATTTTCCAGAACATGTTTTGAAAGCCAGTGTGTCAGAAAATGACAAAATCATGGAACAAATGCCATATCAAGGGTCACACTCAACACAGAGATGCAGACACAAATTCCAGCTCAGGAACACAGTGACATGGCAGCTACTGGGTCAGGTGAGAGCAGTGAGAGTGAACCTCTGCCACATATGACCCTTCTGTTCCTGCCTTAAAAAACAATTTGTGGATTTATCTGTATCAGAGTGAAGTGATGCTGAAACCCACACATTTAAGCAATCTCCTGAAAAAAAAACCCCATAAGGTTTGACTGTGTTTTAACAAAATACAAGTACCTGCATTAATTTGGCATATATATCCTTTGCTGTCATCACAACTCTGATCAGCCCACTGTCCTGCTTCCTTAACAGGACTGTTTGTCATGGCAACACAATCAGCCTTGAGTCAAAAAGATATAAAATCAGTTATAAATAAGTAACAAAAGCAAATACAAAACTTTTGTCCTCCTTTTACATCTTCAGACACAAGTAATGTTGCCATTTTACTCTCATGTCTTTGTAACACCTAAGAGCATAAGTTTTATTATATGGAAGTTCTATTCCTCTTACACTTCACAAATTTCTTAATGTTGCTGTCTCTTGCACAACATTGGGGTGGGTAAGCAGATTAGAGAAATTCCAGTATTCTCATTCTTCGGGCATGCAGCATGGAGGGATGGAGTCACAGATGATTTAGAGAGAAATTAGATCAATTATTGTAGAAGAGAGTAGTTAACTTTGCCTCAGGAAAAAAACTAGACCCTCAATGGGCAATGCAACATTTCAGACACATCTGCTTCTTCAAATCTACTGTTGACAGCTGTAATAGTTCACACAACAAAGTTAGAACTGCTCCTGCCCAAAGACAGACATTGATCTGTCAGCGTCACCCATACAATGACATTTGAACTTCTCTGACATGGACATGATAGCTAGAACCTATGCTAGCACATTAAACAAACAGTGTACAAATGGTTTTGTAATGAAACATCCATATTCATTTTATTCTATTTACTTTTTTGCTTCTTTCTGTCCAGGAGGAGATGCTCAGAGAAGCACTTCATTTGTGAGTGAAAGTATTGAGTCTTGAATCTCTCACACTGAACAGTTGCATAGCATTTTGTATTTGTGTTAATATTTTTGCTAAGATCAGGTAAACTTACAAATAAATCTGAAATTTATATAAAAGGGATTATAAAGCTTTTTCATAAGACCTTATAGAAATCCTACTACTTTCCCTAAAATGAGAAAAACATATATTGTTCCTTTCAGAAGTAACACTTTAAAGATATTTTCTTTTTCAAGCTCCTAATTCTCTCAACTTTTCTCCCGTCATTAGATATAAGAAGCTCAGAGGTGCTACATTCCAAAACAAGAAAAAGGACATTTTACATAAAGATAAGATTTCTGCATTAAAAAAACAGCATTCAAGAGAAATCAAACTAGTACTATAATGAGCTGTAGTTCCAAAGTACAGAGCTATCTAAACACTTATTATCAGAGAGAGGAACTCTGACCTACCAGAAAAGTTTGACAGAGAAATAGGGGAAGTGATTTTCTGGTGGTTTTGTTTTGTGTTTTTTTTTCTTGTAAAATCTCAATGTCTTTTTATTGACTCGTCCTTCCCGCAAGCGTAACTGGCAGAATTTGCTTGTTTGCTTGTATGTAAGGCACTGCTGTCTGAGGGGAATGTTTGTAAATGTTCCCTTGCAAACTACATGCCAGCTCAGAAACCTTCAAAGTTCAGGCACAACTGTCACCAGAGGGAAAGGAGGATGTACTTTTTAACTGTGCTTTGGGGCAAAGGTCATGAGGCAGGAATCCTACTGACCTCTTTAAGAGAGCTTAACAGAGAACACAGGGTGAACACTGAAGCTGTGCAGCCTTCACAAACACAGAGGACTGAAACCTGAAACAAGTCTTCGTATGAGCACTCCACAGATCCTGTAACCAGCTCATACAACAGTTTCACAAGGGCTCACAATCATTCAATCTATTTGGATTTATATTTGACATGTATAAAAGTATGAAAGTAGAAAGTCTAGCTGTAACATGCCTGAAATCACAACAAATGCATAAATGCAACCTAAAGTAAGGTGAGTGTTGGTCTCTTCTCCCTAGTAACCAGTGATAGGACAAGAGGAAACAGCCTCATGTTGTGCCAAGGAATTGGCACAACTAGACTGGATATTAGGAAAACTTTCATGACCAAAAGGGTTGTCAAACATTGGAACAGGCTGCCCAGGGAAGTGATTGAGTCACCATCCCTGAAAGCATTTAGAAGATGTGGCACATGGTTTAGTGGTGGGATTGGCAGTGCTGGGGTAATGGTCATATTCAATGACCCTGGAGGTCTTTTCCAACCTAAGTGATTCTGTGATTCTATAAAATGAAATTTCAGTGAACAATTTGTGATTGCTATTTACCTGGGTACCATATAAATCCACACGTCCTGATGGGAAGCCTTTGGCCCAGTTTGTAAAGTAAACCCCTGTTCCATCTGTCCAGAGGAACCTCATTTCATGATTTATATCATTTAATCCAATCCATATATCAGTAGCAAAATCTTTCATATGGAAGGTGAGGAAAGCTAGAGAAAAAAAAGGCAAAGAAATAGAGGAATAACTTTAATGAAGGACAATTGAAATGTTTGACATCACTTAGATGGGTGATACTAAATACTTTCCCTGAAATACAGAACACTCCACTGTTGACAACACAAGCAGGTAAGATGGAAAGGAGGTGACTTTTGAGTTTGACAAAAGGGAACCAGATATGTAACTGTGGCTTTGAGCAAAGTACTTCAGCTAATTATTAACCTGGTACTAGAATGAATCCCAAAAGCATGACACTAAAATGTCTCAAGACACCTTTGAAGCCTAGTCCCACAATTAACTTATTAATTATATAGCCATGAGGATCACATACATTTTAAATAATGCCATCATAGTGGTTGCTCCTCAAAGACACCAAACAGCACACTGAGCACCTACCATTTGTGCATCTGCACAAGAAGTGCTGTTAGAGTACTACAGGGGTCTCTCCTCCCTCCCTGGACACCTGGGCACTGTCTTAGCAGGGAGAACAATGCACTAGCAACATGCTCCAAATGAGACTCAACAAAACTATTAATCAAAAGCAAATGAATTAGCACAGCTTTGCACAGTCCAGGAGGGTTCTTATATGTCTTATCTAGCATGGCTAGCTCACAAACAGAGCAGACAGGGTCAGCTGACATTCATCAACCCAGTAATCCACAATACATCAAACACTGTGATAAAATCAACATGAAATGTTCTGCCAAAAACTGTAACAGGAACTCAAGCCTTTATGCCTGCACTTCCAGCAATGACAATAGCTTTGTGCTAATAGCTTTATTGCTCATTTCTCTTTTACTGAGAATTCAAGCCCTGTGCATAAACTAACCACCTGAAATCTGTACTGCAGACATTATTGTTGGATAAGAATTTAACTCTCTTTGAAAAATGAATATTTGATTCTTCATCTCTTCACACGTGGAAAACATAATTAGTACTAAGATCATGTCAGCAGTTTATATTTAAACTGTTGAATTGCTCAGGCACAGCCTTGTTTTACAATGATTGATTTTTCAGTATGCCCTTTTGAGTTTGCAAACAGCATATGTTGTGCAACATCTGTTTCTCACCACTGGAGTATAAAACAGCATTTCTACTAAAAAAAGGCGTTACTAACATCTATCAAGGTCTTCCCTAGTTTTCAGTTGGAATATGTGCCATGTTTATTCAAGCATGAGGTAACTTCCCTGTGCTCATCTCCATGGAACATGGATGCAGCTTTTAGGCTCATTAAAATGTGAAAAGAGAGCACATCTATGTGGTAACTTCTGGGTAGGAGTATGAGCAGTCAAACCTGTTCCAAGTTGCCCAGAGACAAATCCTAATCCTAAAGGTGCTCTGCTTGAGTTAACAGGAAAGCCATGCAACAAGTTAATGCCACCTAGTGAAACCACATCATTTGGAATAGAAATTGTTGGGTCCAGCTGGCATCATGTGCAAGCAGAAAAGAACACTACTTTGGCTGCCGGGACAGCATACGCATATATATAGCCAACATTAAAATTTGGTAGATTCAGATGAAGACGTCATGGTAAATTTGTAAAAATTATGTGTTTTGGAACAAAAATTAGATGAACAATCATTAAACCTGTCCATATTCACACAAATACAACAGCCATTGTGTAAAGATTAAATGTCATCTCTAGTTGCTACAAAATTGTGCACAGTACCTTGCACTTGTTCATTAGGGATAGTGGCCAGGTTTCCTCCTAGATTCATGCAAGCTGTTCGTGCAGCACGCCAAGTGACACGTTCCTCTTCTGTAGATCCAAATATTTTGTAACACTAAAATATGAACAAATTCTCTATATATTATCTTTACTCCAATATCCCTCACAGACTGAAAATCACTGCTTGAACAAAGCAGGATGAAGAAAAGGCAGTAAAAAGATGTATTCCTCTGAAAACAACCCCCATATTCAACTTGAAATCCCTTTTTGTGCTGGTCCTGGTTCTGTATCAAACTAATGTGCAAAATTAAAGGTCTCACTAAAGTGTTTTGCTAAACAAGACACGCACTACATTTGACCTGAAATAGCTAGAAAATAAACAAAACCTGACTTTTATATAGACAGTCAGCTATCAATGCTAAGTTATGCATGACTCATATTAGTCAGCCTGATTATTCATTGCCTCTATAAAGCATACCATGTTAGTAAAGTTCAGGAAGACAAAATGTAGACAGTACTGAAAAAAGCATTATGGTTTGGATAAAAAGCATCAAGATCAAAGCATCAATACTTCAGGAATTCTGTCTAAACTCCAGGAAATGCATATCAAAAGATTTGAAGAGCTGACTAGAGAATGTCTTTCATCAACTGCAACTGAATATGCTTCATTGAAGCATCAAAAAAGCACCTTCCTGCAAAACAGTGGATGGGCAAACAAAGAAAAGCATGCGTCACTCAGCTCACTGCAAAAAAATAGCAATATTGTGCTCTAATAAGAATCAATATTATTTAATAATTCCCTTGTTTTCTACTTAATGCTTTGCCTAACATCCAGCATGCACTGTATTTGTTATGGTACCTTATTATGAAAGGAAAGCCAAGTTGGATGACACCCTCTTGGAGTTGAAAATGTCGTTGGAGGAACAGTCGAATTAATGGAACTGTTGTGCCTTTCACATATGTAGGGATTTGGAAAACCACAGTTTATATCATTCCAAAATCCTGAATGTAAGATAAATGGGGAACTGTATGACACCACATCCCAAGCTGGCTAAATGGAAATCAGTTTCACTCATTCTTTCACAAAGTGGTTTTAAATTGAAAGATAAGATCAGATCCTCAGAGTATCAGTTTATTACCATTCAATATCAGTGCCTAGGAAAAATATGTCACTTTATACACACTGCAGTTACAGAATGTTAAAAGCTTTTAGAACAAGGTAGTAGAAATATAAATTTTATAGTGCCACATTAGGCCAATTTTTGCAAAAGATATAAAACAGCAATTATAACCACAGACCTCTATAAGAGCTTCCTCATGCTAGGCTTAAGGTGAGTACAAAACCATTAAATCCCAAAAGTAATATTATTATCTACTAGTACATCTTTTTTGCAAATGAGCAAAAATAAAGAGGAGGAAAGGGGTGCCTCTCAGAAGAAAAGAAGTGTTGTGACACAAACACACCAATAATGAAATTCACAAAAAAACCATACACAACTCACCTAAATTCTTATACATAACTACACAGTTTTCATCATTATTTGCAAAGTTAGGTTCATGTGGTGCCCATGCCAGATAAGTCACTGGAGTGCCATCCATCCAGCTTAAGAAAAACAATCCAACAAAACACTTAAGCTACAAATAGAGATGTTTCCATGTTGCAAAAAGTCATTTTACAATATGCTTAATGTAGCTATTCATATATTTAAGCATACAAGGTTTTTTGACCAATTTGCCTCTTTGCTAATTGCTCTAAACTTACTCTCTATGCAAAGACATAGGTGTATGTGTTGAAGTTGTATTCACTCTGAGTTTAAACATTTTGCAAACGCTGTTAGAACTGATAGGACTATAGTCAAAATACCATTTGGGACGATGTGAAAGCCCAAAATAATTTCAGCATGAGAGCCCAGATGTTCACCATTTCCCCTAATACATACATTCCCTGAGCCTATTGCAGAGATAAAGGCTATTATTTGTAACAGTGGTAAAATACTTGATCAAAAAACTGGAAAAGGGCATGACAAACCACCTGGCAGGGAAATGGCTGTGACAATGTGCCTCACTACAAGGTAAAATACAAACATTGAAAAGGCTGTACATGCATGAAAATTATACAATGAAGAACAAAATTATGACCAAGAAAGTTATTAGGCGACATATTTCTATTAGTCTGCAAATGACAGAAGTGCTCAGGTCCATCCTCCAGGCACATACACAAGGTATGAAAAGAATATTCATCTTAGGGTCTCTACAAAATCAATGAAAAGATCTCATTTTCAGAGGGTTACCTGGCTCACTTAACATCCTAATTATCCTCTGGAGGTCCCTAATTGTCACTGTGGGCTATAAAGACAACCAAGAACTACTGGACATCTATCCAGGCACTTCAAAACTCAGACTGAACTGAATCGAGAGCTGAATAAACACCACATGTAAAAATTAATCTGGTCTTGCCTACTGACATGCAGAAAGGCTTGTAGAAGACCTGCTTGTCCTCACAGTGCAGCAGCTATCTTTGTTCTAGAAAAATGAAATAGGTTGCATTTGTTCCTTTATTACAGTCTGTTCTCAACAGTTAAAGATGAAGAAAAGGAAGACCAAAAGTCTCCTACATTTTGAGTCAGGGCATCTATTTATATTTTCAATATAAGTCATGGAAAAACTAAAACTAGAATTCCTGAATAAAAATTCTAAATACATTAGCTGCAGTGTAATTCTTGCCCTAGCTTAATGTGAATTCTACTTAGGAAACATGCAGCATTTGTCCTGGATATTCTGGAGCTAAGTTAACATGGAATTAAGCCACTTAAGAATGCACTCATGTTTAAATTATCACTCAAAACTAGGTACAGCCTACCTTGTACGCTGGTCAATACTCAGTTGTAAACCAATGAAATATGCATCCTCTTTGCCATTTCTCAATATCTAGAACACAAAGATTAAAATTGTATAAAAGTCCTTTTTGTCATAGAAATCTATTATGTTAGTAGTGCGTGATATACATCTGACTGACAGAGGATATGAACTGCCACATTTGCTAGCTACAACATTTAAGTTAAAGCAGTTCACAGTCAAACTTCACCACTGGCCAAAAGGTGTGGTCACTGTATCAATACTTCTCACAGACTTACTTGAAAGTCACTGATATCAGCACCTCTTTCTTTCACAGTCTCTGTAGTGGACATCATCTGACCAATTTCTTGCAAGGGACAAGCTGTTCTACAGGTTCAATATAAATTGATATAGGCTCTTGTGTTTCTCATTGTCACTCTTCAGCCAGCTCAGGAAATGTCTATGTAGTTCAAATATGACTTTTAAGCACATTCTTGATTAAAAGGAAGTTGGCCTCCAGACAGCATAAATAGGCAGCCAACCCCAGTGACATAGGAAATATTATTTAAAATCTCTTTCTCATAGCATCATCTATGCCTCTATTTGTTCTTTCTGCATAATTATATTCTCCCAACATGAAGAAGGAGGCAAAGGAGCAAACTTGAGGACCAAGAAGAGGCTGCTGGGTAGACTATGTCCCAGACACACAGACAAGATTTAAGGTCAATATTCTGAGTGTTGCATGGAAGTCACTATCTGGTTTGATCCAATACTTAAGATGTCCTATGTTTATCTGTTGATAAACTTTACCTCCAGTTAACTCGCTCACCCTGCAGAATCATAGCTCACTAGCGTAATACGTTTTGCTCAAATGAAGCCACGGATGACTTAAAAGTAAGCATTAAGATTTACCTTAACATACTAAGAATTGCAGGTAGATATAATGTGATATATATGCCACACTGAATAGGAAAAACAGATGATGATCTATTTCCTGCTTATTGTGCTCATTTCTGTGCAAAATACCAAACCAAAACCATCCTTGTCTCAGCTATGAAAAATCTGAAATAAGACTTGAGTTTGTTCTTCATACGTATCTGGTTTAGTGCTACTGAAATTTCACTATCATAAAACTTGCAGGGAGAACACCATGGTGAAAATGATTTGTGCCCATGCTCACTTGTTTTTCATGGTTTGTTCCACAGTACTAATGAATTTTCTTACATATTGCCAGAGGAACTTTCTTTCACTTTCACTCTCAATGACAGCAAGATCTCCGAAGTTCTTTTTGCAGACCTCCCGACCTTCTTCCATAGAAGCACTCTCTTTGCTGAAATAGTATTGTTTCTCTTCATGTATAATCCATCCATCCTCAGAAGTCTTGTATACTGTAAGATAATTGCCAAGCTAACTGTATTGTTCCTGAGATATAAGACATCCTCCTTAGTAAATTTTTTTAAATGTTTCTGAACATACACACACACAAGTAGCAATAGCAGTAGCACTTACTGGGAGCAGGAGATTCTGTTGGTTCAGGCTTTACACTTGCCCCTGTAAGAAAAAAATATTTATTATGATTTTGCACTTTCTGTCATATGATAAAATAATTACTATGACTGATAAACATGTTTTCTACTGACATTGATTTTTATGCTTAGCAATGGATTTAACACCAAAAAAGCAGAAGGAACTAAATAGCTTAAATCTCTTCTTTTTTGGCACACTACTCAATACACAATCTTGTTCCTTGAGGCTTTTCCTTATGTGCAAGGTAGTATAAGTACCTTGAACTTTACCTGAATCAGGTAATTTTTTTGCATTCATTGACTGCTGCAAACGTTATGTCCCAAAGCATTAACTTTGTTAAGACAGTTGTCCTGTATATCCCTCTCCCTCCTTTCCCCTAGTCACTAATATATGAATTCTGGCTTAAACCAGAGGCAGC